ATTTTTTGAGCCTTAATTGCCTTTTAAAATATTTGGCTTGGGGCTGGAGTGATAGCACAGCGTGTAGGGCATTTGCCTTGCACGCGGCTGACCCGGGTTTCTGGTTCCCAGCATCCCATAAGGTCCCCCAAGCACCGTCAGAAGGAATTCATGAGTGCATGAGCCAGGAGTAACCTCTATGCCACGTCGGGTGTGACCCAAAAAGCAAAAATCCAAAAAAACAAAACAAAACAAAAAAGTTTGGCTTTCGAGCCATACCCAGTCTTGGGGTCACTCCTGGTGGGTTTGGGGGACCATACCAGGTGCTGGGCATCAGGCCTAGAACTGCTGCATCTAAGGCAAGCGCCCTTCCCGCTGTCCTATCGCTCTGGCCCCCTGCAGGTTTGATTTGCCCACAGGTACAGGGACCACAGCGCATGGGTTTGACCCCCTCATGTTCAAGTGGCCCTCTCTACCATGCAGACCCATCACCCCAACTGACTGCCCCTCCTCCTCCCTGGGCCTCTGCTGACCACCTTCTGTCCCTGGAGCTCTTCCAGAGTGTCCAGTGACAGCAGCCGTCACGGGGCAGACCTCGAATCTGGCTCCACTGGATAGACACTCGGGCCACTTCCATGCTAGGACAGTGATGAACGGAACCATGAGGTGCACAGGGCTAGGGGTGGCATTCCCAGGGTGGGGAGACCCCCGCAGGGAGGTGCTGGGACCTGCCACATTCTCCCTGAGAGGCGAGTAACGTTTTCAAGCTTTGCTCTTGTGGCCAGTGATTTGAGGGTTCGGAGAGATCCCCGGATCCTGGAAGCGGCGTCCACCTCGGGCCGTTTGAGGAGGGGAGAGTCGCCCCTCCTCAAACGGCCTGGGGTCCAACTCAGGAGCCTGGTTACTCTCTGACCCAAGTACCAGGCACCTCACATCCGGGCCATTGTTATCCACAGGCCAGTGTCAAAGGGACATTGGCTTGGGGCCCGAGTGATCATACAGCAGGGAGGGAGCTTTCCTTGTACGTGGCCAACCCAGGTTCTAAACCCAGCGCGCCATTGGGTGCCCTGAGCACCACCAAGAGAATTGAAAAAAGTGTGTTGGGTGGAACGTTGGCTTGTCCCATCTGAATATCCTGGTTGTTGTCTCCAGCGGCCCCTCCTCGCCGCCCCCCCGCCCCCCCAGCCTCCCCAGTAGGCCTGCCTGCTCCAAACCTGCGGGCCTCGAGCTCAGTGCTCTGCGTGGCGCTTTGCTGCCCTCTGGTGGCTGCCAGGGTCACACTGTCCACTCCTGTAGAGACGCACCTTCTCCTCCCACGTGCAGGACCTCAAACCTGGCCTCTGCCCCAGGAGGGTGCCATGAGCAATCCCAGCACCCGGGGCTGTGGGCGCGGAGCCCTTGATCCAGCCTGGAGAATGCGGGGTAACCCTGGGCTGCTCCTTACCCCACCTGCACCTACGTAACTACTGACCTGTCAATTGGGGTGACAGGCCCCTTGGGGCCTATCCTGGGGGAGGGGCCGCTCCTAGTGTTGCTAAGGGTTCAGGGAATTGAACCTGGGGGTGCAGGGAATTCCAGAGGGTGCAGGGAATTGAACCTGGGGCCCCGACTGGTGAAGCGGCCCTCCAGCCCCCAGCCCCGTGCCATCTTCCCTGCCCCCCACCTGTGCAGTGAGACAGGAGCGGGGACAGTTGGGAGGGCGCTCCTCTTGCACGGGGCTGACCTGGGTTCGATCCCTGCTACCTAAAGCCTGCCAGGAGCGAGAGGAACTTGGTACAGGACTAAGTTCAGGAGTGACTCCTGAGCACTGCCGGGTGGAGCCCCAAAACAGAAGAACAAAGAACGGTCTTTGTCCCCAAGTCTAAAGGATAGTTTGTTGTCCTGAATGTAGCAGATGAGGTGCGGGCGATGAGGCTGTTCTGACGCCCTGCACACCTCACACCCACCCTTTATCCCCACCCAGTGCCCCACCAGCCCAACCCCCCAAGCTCTCGGCCCTACTCTGCCTCCTGCCTGGTACTCCGCTCGGAACTCTCTGCCCGTCCGTTGGTCATCTCATCATATTATCTCTGTGTCTCAGGTTAATGCCCTGCGTCTGACCTGTGAGCTCCTAGTCTAGCCTCACCGCCTCTCAGGCGCGTGTGGGGAGACAGGTGGTGAGAACATGCCACAAAGCAACCACGGGGACCAGAGCAGGGGAAGTCCCAAGGAGGGAGGGCGTGGCCACCTGACGGTCGGGGCTGGGAGGCAGTCAAAGGTGGCTTCCTGGAGGAGATGGCACTTCACACAGGCCCAAGTCTGTGGGAGTGTGTCAGGGAGGAAAGGACACTCTGGGTAAAGGCTTTATAGGGGTGGCTGGGTGGGGGTGAGGTGCCTGATCAGTGGGGTGTGTGGGGTAGCGTTGCGTGACACTTTGGGACTTTCCCTAGTTCTTTGCCCTGGGCCTCCTGAAGTGCCCCGGAGCGGCCACAGTGCTGATCTGTCATGGGGGTGTCCTGTCCAGCTGCAAGCGAACGCTGGCCTCCTTCTAGACACTTCCTCAGGAAATGTCTCTCCTTCCCCCACTCCTACGCTCCAGGCTTTCAAAGAGTTTCCGGTGCATGGCGGGTTTGATGTAAGGGGGTGCAGTTAGGGACAGAGGGGGAAGAGCAAAGACAGGCCTGGCTTCAGAGAAGTCTCTGGAAGCATGTCACACCCCCTCTTCCTGCAGTGCCGATTCCCCTGTCATTTCCTGCTCACTCACTCACTCACCTGGGCAGCCCTGACGGAAGCCACCGACGTCATTCAGCCTGAGAGCAAGACGTTTGTGGAGACAGGCCCCTCGTCTCAGCTTGTTTGCCCCCAATCAACCTGTTTTCCTCACGCCAACACCAATTTGGGGAAGAGGGCTGCCCTGGCAGTGCTCATGCCTTATTTCTGGCTCTGCACTTCTGGAGGTGCTCTGGGGACCCTATGGGGTACTAGGGGTCGAACTCTGGTCAGCTATGTGCATGGTAAGGCCGTATCCATTGTGCTCTCTCTGGCTCCTTTTTCTTTTTCTTTTTTTTGGGGGGGGTCACATCTAGCAATGCTGAGGGGTTACTCCTGGCTCTGCACTCAGAAATCATTCCTGGCGGTGCTCAGGGGACCATATGGGATACTGGGAATCGAACCCGGGTCAGCCGCGTGGAAGGCAAACGCCCTACCCGCTGTGCTATCGCTCCAGCCCCACTTCTTCATTTTGGCGCCACGTCTGGTGGGGTTGCGGTGGGGAGATGGGTGGAGGGGGTGTCAGACATGGCGCCAGGGGTGAAACTCAAGACCTCCTCATGCCTCTCCACACCCCAACCTGAGTGTAAGCGAGATCCTCCCGAAAAGGGGTTCCCCATCCCACCTCTCGGGGAGAGCAGGGCTATCTCGAGTCCCCCACAGGTCCAGCAGATGTGTTTCTTCTTGGTACTTTTCAGGGCCCCAACACTGGGTTAGAGCAGCGAACACCACAGGGCGCCTCCCTCCTCACAGGGGTCAAAAAAATGACAAAGCCAACCATTGTGGAGAGGCCCCGGAACAAAGAGTGTGCAGCTGCTCGCCTCTTTTTAATTTAGATTTTAGGTTTTTTATGTTTTGCTTTGGATCCATACCCAGTGTTGCTACTTCTGGCTCTGCACTCAGGAATCACTCCCAGTGGTGCTCACGGGACCCTAAGGGATGCTGGGGATCAAACTCCGGTCGGTCACGTGCAAAGCTCCCCACTGGACTATGGCTCCAGCCCCTCTTCCTCTTTGAGAGGAAACCTTCACTGTCACTTCAGTAAGGAGACAGTTACAAGGGACTTGCTCTGCCAGAGAGGGCACTCGCCTGCCATACCGCTGATCCCAGTTTGATTCCTGCCACCTGGTAGTGTCCCTGGAGCACTGCCAGGAGTGGTCCTAGCGCAGAATCAGGAGTAAGCCCTGAGCATCGCAGGTGTGGCCCAAACAAAACAAAACAGGCTGGGGTTTGGCTTCAATGATAAAAGAGACAGGATGACGACCTTTATAGGCTAGATGCTGCCAGAAAGCCGGGACAGCGGGCTTCCCAGCTGAGTAAATACTCAGAGCCCATCGGTAGTGAGGGAGGCTAATGCTATTTGAAGTACAAGTTATTCCCAGCAGCCAAGAACAGGAAACGTTTGGTCTTTTTTTTTTTTCTCCTCCCTGGTTCCAAGAGTCTTGTTTTTGCCTCCAAACCTAATTATACAGCACCTTGTTTGTTTGGTGCTCCTGGCTCTAAGCTCAGGAATTACTCCTGGCGGGCTCCAGGGATGCTAGGGGATGCCCGGATAGAACTCAGGTCGGCGGCGGGGCAGGCAAACACCCTCCCCGCTGTCCTATCACTGCGGTCCCAACAGCGCCCTGCTTTCGGGCCTTGAGCGATGTTGTTCTGGAAAGCTCTGTCCAGCCGGCCTCCAAGCACCGGGTGCGGGCGGTTTTGCCTTTCTTTGCACGAGGCTTGTTCACTGGGCCCGGGTGCATTCGTCAGATGCCAGCCGCACAGGGACTGACCCTCGCAGGGTCTCGATCCCACGGAAGGGACGTCACGACCTTGCTCGGGGCTGTGGCGGGACAGGGTGGGTAGCGGGGACGGGGACGCCTGTGCCTGGGTTCCGGGCTTGCAGGGCACTACTCCCCCCTGCACACGCAAACTCCGAGGCCGACCCGGGTTCGATGCCCCCCGCACCGCCAAGAATGATTCCTGAGCACCGACGGGTGTGCCCCCTCCACAAACAAACAAACAAACAAACAAACAAACAAACAAACCACCCCCCCCCCCCCCCCCGCTAACCTCCACCAGCCCCGATTTGTCCCGAAACAGGAAATGAAACCCGCAGTTTTCAGCAAAGAACCCGACCCAACCCGAGGCTCATGAATATTCAGCAGTTGCTTCCGGCGGGCGACTCCGCCCCCGGCCCCGCCCAGCTCGGGGCCGCGTGTGCGTCATCGGCGCGCGCGGCTCTGTCGTCATCCGTGCGCGCCACCGCTCCCGCCCGCCCGCCTGCCGCCTGTAGCCGTCATGGCGAGCTCTGCGGCCTCTGCCGTGCGGCCACCCAGGCCCAAGAAAGAGCCGCAGGCGCTCGTCATCCCCAAGAATGCGGCGGAGGAGCAGAAACTCAAGCTGGAGCGGCTCATGAAGAACCCGGTAGGACGAGTCGCGCCCCCCGCGCTGCCGGCGCCTCGGTGGCCCCCGAGCAACCTCTTCTCGGTCCCCCGCGCGCGCCCCCGGGCTCCCTCTTCAGTGGTCACGGGGTCGTTCCCGGTGAGGCTCGGGGAGCCTGCTGGCGTCCAGAACCCGTCGAGCTCCTGTTTCCAGCGCTCAGGGAAGCCTGTCCAAGTTTTGACTTGCTCTGAGCACTGGAAAGGGAGAGCCCGGGACGGTGATGCCCGAGACACCCCAGCCCTGGGCCTCGGTCCGCTCGTCGTGAAACCGCCCGAGTGGGAGCCGGTTTCACACTTGGGGGCTGGCGGAGGGCGGACTCTCGTCGCACCGTGCATGGCAGGAAGCGGCTTCCAGCCGTAATGGGTTGCAGCCTGGCAGGTTCTGCTCTGCAAAGGGAAGGGCCGCCCTGCCACGGCGATGGGCTGGGTGCATGTGGACGTTGGCAGGACAGAGTAGCGCCAAGAGTCGGGGAGGAGGAGGGAGCAAAGCAGCTGTCCTTCCGAGCCGATTTTGTTTTTGTTTGTTTGGGGGTCACACCCGGCGTTGCTCAGGGCTTACTCCTGGTTCTGCACTCAGGAATATCTCCTGGCGGTGCTTGGGGACCATATGGGATGCGGGGGATGCAACCCCCTTCTGCTGAGGGCAAGACAAACGCCCTCCCCGCGGTGCTATCGCTCTGGCCCCTTATTTTTGTTTTATGGCCACACCTGGCGCTGCTCAGGGTTTACTCCAGGCTCAGGGACTACTTCCGGCTAGGATGGAGATGGTGGGGCACACCATATGGGGTGCCCAGGATGGAACCCGGGACTGCCATGTGCAAGGCAGGCTCCCTACTAGCAGTACTATCTCTCTAGCCCCTCAAAAATTAAACTTCCCGGGGCTGGAGTGATAGCACAGCGGGCAGGGCGTTTGCCTTGCATGTGACCCAGTCCGGGTTCGATTCCCATCATCCCATATGGTCCCCCGAGCACAGCCAGAAGTAATTCCTGAGTGCATGAGCCAGGAGTAACCCCTGAGCATCACCGGGTGTGACCCAAAAAGAAAGAAAAAATTAAACTTCTTGGCTCCTTGAGGTGTGACATGCTATTGGGTTTGGGCTCAGAACTGCTTCCCTGCTTACGTGTTGCAGGACAAAGCCGTCCCAATTCCAGAAAAAATGAGCGAATGGGCACCTCGACCTCCCCCGGAATTTGTCCGAGATGTAATGGGTAATGTCTTTGGGGTAGGGGAGAGAGAGTTTGTGGGGGGAATTTTGGGGGCCCACACCCTGAAGTGTGTGTGTATGGGGGGGGTGCTTCCACATTGCTGGGGTGGGAGGGTCACTCCGGGAAGTGGTCTGGGAACTTTGCAGGTCTAACCCTGGGGATTCTGCTTGCCAAGCAGAGCGTAGCACCTTGGAACAATCTCCCCAATCCCATAGAGTTTGTAAAGCATAGGTTTTAGATAATTTCTCCTGGGCTGTTAGTAATGCAGGGTGTGGTTTTTCCTCAACGAAAGTAGTTTTATTGTCAGATTGCACATTAAGACACACATTAGAAAAAGTGGGTAATAGAGGTATAGAAACTTCGGATCCACCTGTAACACAGTCGCTCTGTGACATTCTGATGAGAGCCTTTCGATCCCTTTGTAGTTAAGATTGCAGGTGCCTAAGAAAAAAAAAACATTTTCCCCAAAATACAGAGGCCACATACATGAGTTAGTAGCCTTTTTTCACTTATTCTGCCCCCAAGCACCTTTCCAGCCCTGTAGAAAGGTCGCAAACGTGCCATCATCATGGCAGGGACAAAACCACTTCTAGGGCTCTGGGCCCAGAAGAACTGCTGCCCTCCTCCCAGGTCTGCGTTAGAGTGGAAACTTCTAGACACCTTCCTACTCAGCGCCATGCCAGGCTGAGGAGAAACTGGGCAGTCAGAGGCCCTTTGATTGCCTCGGTCTCTCCCTTCAGTCCCTTCGTGACCTCTGTTGGGGACTGCGTCTGACCAGGCATTATGCTGTGTCTCGGCTGCAGGCTCCAGTGCAGGGGCTGGCAGCGGGGAGTTCCATGTGTACCGGCATCTGCGGCGGCGAGAGTACCAGCGCCAGGACTACATGGATGCCATGGCCGAGAAGGTGGGCTGGGACGGGAAGCTGCTCCCAGCACTGGGAAAGGGCCGGGCAGAAGGGATGGCGTGTGGGGGACGCAGCTTCAAGTCAGCTCCGGGTGCAGATATCCAGGTCGTTCCCTGTCGAACTCGGGGACCACCGGAGACTAGGGATGTGGAGAGGAAAAGGGGAGACCCTGTACCCCTCAGGCCATCAGCCAGGGGCAGGAATGGGGAAGCACACTCTCCCACACTGAGTGCTGGAATTATTTTATCCACACTCAAAATCTCGTTGAATTTTTTTTTGGGGGGGGGGTCACACCCGGCGATGCTCAGGGGTTACTCCTGGCTCTGCACTCAGGAATTAATCCAGGCGGTACTCAGGGGACCATATGGGATGCTGGGAATTGAACCCGGATCGGCCTCATGCAAGGCAAACGCCTTACCCACTGTGCTGTTGCTCCAACCCCCTCGTTGAATTTTTTAGAAGTGGTTCTTGCTGAGTGTTTTTGGTTTGGCTTGAGGCCTTATCCAGCTGCTCTTAGGGCTTGAGGCTCTTCTCAGAGGTCACATCTGGCGGGGTTGGGGAGACCATACCAGTCCCCGGTCAGCTGACCCATGCAAGGCAAGCACCCCACTCTCTGTGCTATCTCCCCAGTCACCCCTGTGCTGTTTTCTTTTTGATGTCACTGTCATAGTCCAACAGTCGGAAAGTAAGTGGCAGCTGGCTTTGCCAGTGTGTGCGTGTCCTCCCCTAGTTCCTCAGCAGTGGGGAAAGCCCTTTCCTCTGTACCGTCACAGTGCTGCAACCTGCTGGGTTATGTGTATGTTTTTTTGTTTTGTTTTTGTTTTATTTTTTTATTTTGCTTTTTGGGTCACACTCTGCGATGCTCAGGGGTTACTCCTGGCTCTGCACTTAGGAATCAGTCCTGGCAGTGCTCAGGGGACCATATGGGATGCCAGGAATCAAACCTGGGTCGGCCGCGTGCAAGGCAAACACCCTACCCACTGTACTATTGCTCCAGCCCCCTATGTGTGTATGTTGGCAGAGATTCAGGCTTCTGCGGGACTGGGGGCTGAGGCGCACCCGCCTGGCAGTGCTTGGGACCACTGGGTGCCAGGGATCAAATGCAGAGGGGCTCCTGCATGCAAGGCTTGTGCTCTAACCCTTGAACCCATCACCTGGCCCAAGATTTGAATGTTTTTTTTTCCTTTTTCTTCTGTTTTGGAGCTGTACCCAACAGTGCTCAGGGATTACTCCTGGCTTTGTGTTCAGGAATCGCTCCTGGTGGTGTTCAGAGGACTCTTTGTGGTGCCAGGGATGGAACCCAGGTCAACCACGTTCAAGACAGGTGCCCTGCCTGCTGCGCGTGCCTCCTGCCCCCAGATTCAGACATCTGACATCGATAGTTTCCCTTTCCCTTTTTGAGAGAGGAAGCCACTCCATGCTGCTTGGACTTGATTTCCCAGAAATGTGGTCTTTGAAAAGGTGCTAGAATTTTTGAATCTCTCCCACTACAAAGGAAATGGCATACTTTCCAAAATTAGAGCAAACCCCACTCATCGTCACTGCGGCCTCTGTCAGACCTCCAGCATCCGCTTGCCCAGGTGCCCCAGCCAGAACTCCTCCAGCCGCTGTCCCTTTGTGCCGGAAACTGGGCCGGACTATTCCTCTGGGCCCAGCCTGCTCCTTGCAGGGCTGTCTGCAGAAAAGCTCACCAGGGATCCCAGGGGCCCATCCGCTTCACCCTTCCTTAGTGCTGGGGTAACTGCAGGAATTGGAAGGAAATGAGCCAGCGTCCAGCTCTTGTCTGCGCGCTGATCAACGTCTGGGCTGCAGCGGGCGGGTCCAGCCAAGGGTTGTGTCTGCTGGCCCACTTCCTCTCACACGGTCCCCCAAGAGCCCCAGCTTGCTTTCCTGGCTGGGGGTGGGGGAGACTTGCCTCCTACCTGAGGCCAGTCCAGGCAGTGGTCTCTATCCTGCCCCCAGTAAGGGTCGCTCCCTTTTTCCTCTTGAGGTTTTTGGGCCACGCCCGGCAGTCGATGCTCAGGGGTTACTCCTGGCTTTGTGCTCAGGGATCACTCCTGGCAGAGCTCGGAGGACCATGTGGGGTACCCAAGATCCTACCACGTGCAAGGCAAATGCCCTCCCTTCTGTGCTATTGCTCCAGCCCCTGATGGGTTACTCTTGCAGCAAAAACTAGATGCCGAGTTTCAGAAAAGACTGGAGAAGAACAAGATGGCTGCCGAGGAGCAGACGGCCAAGCGGCGGAAGAAGCGGTAAGCAGTGAGTGCGACTTTCGACCCTGGAGGGGAGGGGGGGCACCCAGCCTGAGGTCTGGAGGTCAGTCCCTGACTCCCCTGCTGCACCCTGAGGCTCACCACGGCGTCTCCTCCACTCAGGTGCTGGCACTGTGGTAATTCCTGGGCTTGTCGCTTCACTTCCGTTCTGTGGTGGTGGTTTGGGACCACAGCTGGCTGTGCTCACACGCTGTTCCTGGCTCTGTGCTCAGGGGTCCCTCCCTGGTGTGTTCAGGGAACCCTGTGGCACCATGAGATTGGGTGCAGGCCCCCTGCATGCAGTGCCCGTGCCCTGCTCGTGGAGCACTCTCTCCAGCCCGTGGAGCACGGGGGTGGGGGGGGTGCTGGTTGGTTGGTTGGTTTGGAACCACCCAGCAGTGCTCAGGTTGTCCTCCCAGCTCCTTGCTCGAGTCAATCATGATGGGCTCAGGGGACAATACGGGGTGCTGGGAATTGAACCTTTGTCAACTGCATGTAAGACAAGTGCCTCCCCCCACTGTACTCTCCGGCCTCTGCGTTTTCAGAAAAGTGCTTGAGGAATTTACTTACTTTTGTTGCACTTGTAGCCAGAAGTTAAAGGAGAAGAAATTACTGGCCAAGAAAAAGAAGCTGGAGCAGAAGAAACAAGACGAGGGTGAGTGCCTGCCCTGCCCTCCCCTCCGGACTCACCAGGGCTTGAATCAGGCTTTGGGGCTGGGAGTGTCAGCTGATGAGGCCCTCGTTGATTTGTCCCGTTTCCTGTAAGGCTCAGAGGTCAGCTCCAGCCCAAATGAAACCAGATTCTCAGTCACCCCCAGGGTAGGGTGGGCAACTAGAAGGACCCAGCCTCACTCCCCACCCACAGGCTTCTGCTGTGCACCCCAGGTGCGCCCAGCCCCATCTGCTGGAGGAGAGGCGTAGGGTGTTGGCCCAGGGGCTCGTGCACGTGTGTGTGTGTGTGTGTGTGTGTGTGTGTGTGGCCCACAGGGCCACTCAGTAAGTGGGTTGTGAAGACCCATCCATGACGAGCAGCTGTTTCCAACTTGCAGCAGCTGAGCAGAAAGCGGTTCCTCTGCCCCCAAACCAGGAATGTGGGGAAGGGCCAGCCCTGGAGGGTCTCTCGGTCCTGGCAGGAAGGGAGGGCTTAGAGAGCGAAGCCCTCTAAGTACCCCACACTGCGAGAGTCTCCTCATCCTCACCTCCCTGGCCAGCGGCCCATCTGCCGTTCCTCGGCAGGGGCAAATAGCAAAGGGACTCGAGCCCACTGTGACCCGTCATGGGGGCTGCGTGCTCTGTCACCCTAGACAGAACCGAGGCTCTGTTCACAGGGAGTTTAGGGGAGCGAACTGAGTCAGCACCCCAGCAGGCTGCCTGCCGCTCGCCTGTCATGCAGCCACCCCACGCTGGAGACAGGCTTGTCAGCAGTTTCTTCTTTCAGTTTCGGAATGTTTTTCCACTTTGGCCTCCGCGGCTCCCGGTGGGAAGTGGGTGGTCGCTCGGGACTGCCCTGCCGTCGTCTGGACCGGTTGCTCTCAGGATTTGCCCCTTTCTTGGGCTGAGGGGCGGGAGGTGGGGTTTGGCCGCAGCCTGCAGTGCCCGGGAGCTGATCAGCCCGTGCCCCCTAGACTCGCAGACCCCATGTGTCCAGGGGGAGCAGTTTGGAAAGGATCCGCTGTGCGTGAGCTTTCTCCTCAAGCTCACGTGCTGCTGCAGGCTCGTCCGTGTCGTTCGGGGTTGTGGGAGCTGGAGGAGATGCCTGGCCAGGGCATACGCTTCGGGAGCAGCAGGCCCAGGTGCTGTCGCAGCATGAATGTCAGGGTGCCGAGCCCCCTAGGTGTGTTCCCAACACAACACCAGGGAGCTGGGCATTTTGTGCTTGTGTCTCTGGTTTTTTTTTCCCCCTTCTTTTTCTGGTTTCGGGGCCACACTGGGCGATGCTCAGGGATCGCTCCTGCTGGTGCTCAGGGATGAGATAGGAATGGAGTTTTGCTTTACCAGCTTGGCTGCAACTCCTGCATTGCTTATCCCAGCTCTGTCTCTGCTGCTGCTGCTGCTTTTTTTTTTTTTTTTTTGGCTTTTTGGGTCACGCCCAGCGATGCAGCGATGCTCAGGGGTTCCTCCTGGGTCTGCACTCAGGAATTACTTCTGGCGGTGCTCGGGGGACCATACGGGATGCTGGGAATCAAACTCAGGTCAGCCGCTTGCAAGGCAAACACCCTACCCGCTTTGCTATGGCTCCAGCCCCTGTCTCTGCTTCTGATTGGGTAATTTGTATCGATCTGAATTCCAGCTCTTCTGTTCTTCTGTTTTGGAATTGTCAGGTGTGTGTTATCTTTTCCCTGTGCAAGCTAAGATTTTTCCAGATTTTCCCTGTGCTGAGTCATTTTCTAATACAACCTGGGCGTTGTGAGCATGCCGTCCCTGGCGCTGCGGAGAGGGGCGGGATCTGCCCGGAATCAGGCATTCATGGGAGCATGACCATGGGTGTGGGGGTGTGCCCCACTCAGAAAATGGGGTGTGTGGGAGCAGGGAGCTTCCCATCCTGTAGTCCCTGCCTATAGGCTGCTGGCTAGCTCGGAGGTCAGCAGTTGCTCCCTGCCAAGTCCCCCCTGGAGTGTCTGGCTCCCTAGGGTTCCCTGTGCCACACTTCCAGCCACGAGGGGTCAGGGCTCTGGGTGCACGCTCCTTTTTTTTTTTTTCCTTTTTTTTGAGTCACACCTGGTGATGCACAGGGATTACTCCTGGCTTAAGCACTCAGGATTACTCCTGGCGGTGCTCAGGAGAATCATATGGGATGCTGGGAATCGAATCCAGGTCGACTGCATGCAAGGCAAATGCCCTACCCACTGTGCTATCACTCCAGCCCCTGGATCGGAGGGTCTAGGGCCCGCGGCTCCCATGGCCTCTGACCCTGTGAGTGTCTGCGGGAATCGGGATGGGCCTAGGGGGCGTAGGGAAGCGGAATTGCCGTAGCCAGGCAGGGGGCTGTGGCAGCATGGCAGGAAGCCCTGTGCTCGGCCGTGTTTCAGACTGTGCCCGCCTATCCCCAGGCTGGGCTCCAGCTCTCCCCCTACCGCCTCCATCTTTTCTGGTTTCTGATGTTGTGGGTCCCAGTCTCATCAACACAGGTTGGTGTTCTTGGTCCTGTTGGTTCGGTTTCCTGTTGGGGAGGGTTGGGGCTAGACCCGGGGGCCTTGGGACACTCCTGGCTCTGTGCTTGGAGGGCCAGATGTGGCCCTGGCGCTGGGGTCCGTTGGGGGTGTTAGGATGTGACTCAGGGTGATGCAGTGGGCAGAGCCGGGCCCACATGGCCTTGCATGTAGAAGCCTGGGTTTAGTCCTCGGCACCAGTGGGTGGGTCCCCAGAACAACCCAAAAGGAGTGGTAGTGTAGTGGGCAGGCGCTTGTGTTGCGGGCAGTGGCCCCAGGTCCATCCCTGGCACCACACAGGGTCCCTGAACACCATGAGAAGTGAGTCCTGAGCACCACCACGTGTGGCCCAGACCTCCCTTCCCACCCCACCCCAAAAAGAGTGCTGAGTAGGTAGTTGAAAGGTGGAGGGCATCCCCGGTGTGTGAGAGCACCCCTCACCCCTGTTTGACCCCCAGATCCCATGCCGCCCCAGTGGGAGGTCTGAATGACTTGATCAAAGTTAGACATGGAAACAGCTATTAGAGCAGTACATGCTTGTGTATACTTTGTACTGAAGGACTAGGGTAGTGTTTCCGTCTCCAGGTAGAAGGAAAGCTTTGGAGTTTGTGGGGCAGGGAAGATAGCTCGGCGGGCTGACTCACCCTCCATGCCCGAGCACAGAGCAGGTTCCATCCCTGGCATCCTGCACGGTTCCCTGAGCACTAGGGCACTGCCCCCAAATCAGACAAACACGATTCATGTGTTCTGCCTGGCCCCTCAGTTCCTTTTTTTCCCCTGTTTTATTTGAGGACCCTCCCCGCGATGCTCAGGGCTTACTACTGGCTCTGTGTTCAGGGATCACTTCTGGTGGGCTCAGCAGGACTCTGTGGAATGCTGGGGATGGAACCTGCCTTCCCTGCTGTATGGCGGCCTGGGCCCTCCAGAACAGGGCACCATACTCAGTCATGCCACAAGGTGCTCCTGGAGCACTTCTGGGCTCTGGCCAGCCTGGAGGTCAGTTGAAGCCTTGACGCAGGCAGCTGGCTGGAGGGCTGTTGGCTAGTTGGAGAGGACACAGCCCCGCTGTCCAGGCACCCTTGCCCATGGCGTCATGCTAGTCTGAGTGATCACAAAACCCCAAACTCCTGAACATGCCCCAACCCCAGTGCCGCTGGCAGAAGCAGACCTGCAGCCCTGGCGGCCCGGCCCTCCTGATATTGGAGCACGTTGTTCTGGGACGTTTTCTCCTGGTCACTGGGGCATGTTCCCTGGATGCAGCAGGACCCGCCCTCTCCCTCCATGGTGGGCATTGGACCAGCTCCAGACACTAGACATATGCCCTGGCAGGGACAGGGACAGAGTGTCCCTGCTGGAGCATCCCTGCTGGGCCCTGCTTGCTTGAGGCCCTCAAAGCTGCGAGTTTCCAGTACCCAGTTCTCAGACTGGGGGGTTCAGAGCCTCTGCACCTTCTCACAGTGACCCATGGTCGCTTCAACCTTAGGGAGAAAGGAATTTCAGAAACATTTGAAATAATCAGTGATGAGTAAGGGAGTAAGAGCCTTGCACGTGGCCAACCCATCACTGGCAGCAGATGACGGTTCCCGAGCACTGTTTTGTGGCCTGGTATCACCCTCCCTCCACAAATAATGATCACTCTGACGTTCGAAAGTCATCCTTGACTTCAGCGTCCGCATGTATGTGACACAAACCTGCCTCCTAGTGTCCCCTGGTTTGTACCTGTCAGAGACTCATCATAGAAGTTTGGGGCACAAATATTTTCCAAGATTCTTGCATCCAGGAACATGGAAGAGTTTTCCCTGGTTTAGTCATCTGACTTTTTTTTTTTTTTTAAGGCTGATGTTACAGAAGCATTTCATTAAGTATTCCCAGAATCTGTGAATATTCTCAGAATTTTTAAATTTCATTTAATTTTTTGTGCTTGGGGCTTACTTCTGGCTATGCACTCAGGTATCACTCCCAGCAGTGCTCAGGAACCCGTATGGGGTGCTGGGGATCGAACCAGGGTTGGCTGCATGCAAGGCAAACACCCCCCCTGCTGTGTCATTGGTCTGGGCCCAGATCCTTAGACTTTGTTTTGTGTCTTTTTGAGGGGACATTCCTGGCAGTATTCAGGGTTTGCTCCCGGCTCTTTGTTCAGGGGTTACTCCTGACAGTGCTCGGAGGACTGTGTAGTGCCGGGGACTGAGCCCGGGTCAGTCAGGCTCCTGGACTTGCAGATGTGGCGGCGGTGTGCCCAGGGAGCAGAAGCCCGCCCATCTCGCTCTGTGCATCTTCCCCCGTGCACCTGGCATTGGGGGCACACAAGCGCCACTCCTTTTGCTTTCCTCAGGGTGAAAGCATTTATGGTGCTTCATCACATCTCCGGTGACAGACCACGGTTGGCACATCTGACCCAGTCCCCTGCTCGCCTAGACTGAGTCTTAGTCTCCTTCAGAAGCCACTTCAGGCTTGTCCTGCCGGCAGCCCCACCCTGCCCGGGACTCCTGCAGGACGTGCCAGTCACTGTCCAGAGGAGGCGTTCAGACTCAGGCGAGGATTTGTGTTGTTTCGCAGTTGGAATGTTCTGGAACTCTCCAGGTGCTCTCACATCCCCACTGCCTGCATTGCAGGGTGAGCTCCCATACACCCTGGAGAGCCCAGAAATCTCCCTTCCGGCTCCGAGCAAGCCCCGACGTCCCCATGTGCCTGGCACTGTCCGCTGGGATCCCCGTCCCCACCCCAGCTCCCTCCCAGCACTGCCTTTTAAATTGGCGGGTGGCACACCCACTTCCAGCTCACTTCAGAAGCCGTGCCCGGTGCGGGCGAGACGGCTGTCCGCGGAGTCACAAACCTGACGACCGGGACGTGGGCTTGTGACCGCGCGGGCTGATGGCGCGGGTCGTGTGTTGGACTGATCTTTGTTTCCTCCCCAGTGCTGGATCTCCTTCTCTGCCCCTTGTTTTTTGGTTTGGTTTGGGGGGGGGTCACACCCCACAGTGCCCAGGAGCTCTTCAGGACAGTGGGGTGCCGGGTGAAACGGGGGTCCCGCACGTCACGCCCGTTGCTTCAGCCTGGGGAGCGTCTCCTCGCCCTGGTTCTCACCAGTGCCGTGTTGCACCCGTCGGCAGCCTTCACCCCAGAAACCCCAGAACTCCCATCCTGTGCCCCCTGCCAGACACCTACCCCATTCTCCCGGCCCCCTCCCTGCGCCCAGATCCGACTCGTAGCCTCAGATGCCCATTGTGAGCAGAATCTGGGCCTGCTGGTCGAGTTTGGGGCTGGGGCAGTGCTCGGGGCAGTGCCAGGTCCTCCTCCCTGGCTGCTTGTTCCTGGGGTGGGCAGGATGGAGCAAGGTCTGGGGCAGCCCCATCGCCCATTTGCTGTCCACCACTGCTGGTGGGTCCTGCAGGCTCAGGGGCAGAGGCTTTGCAGGCCCTAGTCTCAGGGGCGCGGTTTCTGCTGAGGGTCCTGGCAGGGCCCAGCTGTCGGGCTGCACGCAGACGTGGCCCTTACATTTGGCTGAAATACGCTGCAGCGTCGCCGCGATTTTTCGGCTCTTTCTGGGGGAATCCAGCCCAGCACCTCGCCCGAGTTCCACCCCTCAGCCCCTCTCCCACCCCTGCCCCACCATCGTGTGCCGTGTTATCAGTTGGGGGCCAACCCAGTGATGTCCAGGGGTTACTCCTGACTCTGTGCTCAGGAGTCACTCCTGGAAGTGCCTGGGGGACCACTTGGGATGTCAGGGATCAAACCCGGGTCTGCCCATGCTAGGCAGACGCCCTCCCCACTGTTCTGTCTCTCCGGCCCCTCTATTTTTAGAATACAGCTTTTAGACTCAAAAAAAAAAAAGTGCACGTGAGGCTCAGGAGGAGGACTGGGCAGCAGAGGGGGTGCCTTGGCATCTGTCTGGGGGTGCAGGTGACTACACTGCCTGGAGCCTGCCTAGTCTTCCACCTGTGCCTGCCCACTGCCCAGTGGCCCTGCCAGGAGGGAAGTGGCGGGGGTGGGGCCACACTGCTCGCTTGTCTAGGGGGCTGCCAGGGGTTAGGTCTGGGGGAGGCAGAAGGGAGAAGCTGCCCTGTTGGCCCCAGGCAGAGCCCTCCGGGGTCCCTTATCAGGGAGGGGCTTGAGACCCGCAGGAGCACTGTCAGCTGAAGCTGAGGGGATGCCCTAGCCCCCTCCCTCCCCACTCCTCGTGAGGACCATCCCCCCCCCCACGCCGCGTGGCATTCACAGGTAGCCCCTCCCTCGCTGGCCCTAGTCCTGGTTCCCACGGCCTGACCCCGTGCCCTGTGGTTGCAGGCTCTGGCCCGTCCCAGGCGCAGACGCACAGCAGCTCCGAGGAAGCATCTGGATCAGAGGAGGAGGAGGAAGAGGAGGAGGCGCCCAGCTTCGTCATGAGCCGATGACCTCGTGTGGCTGACATTCCCCGTGATGGGCCCCACTGCCCTCCCTGACCGGGGCAGGAGGCTTGGTCCCACCCACTTCCTTCCCTGGCCTCTGGACACGGCCACAGGCCATCCTGACAGCTGACAGCTCCCAGCCCTGCCCAACAGCAGTGGACAAGGCAGGCCAGCTCCGGACACTCAGCCCTGCGCCGCCAGCTCCCTGCTGCTGCCTGCTACCCGGGGGGAACCTCGGCTCTGTACCGGCCAGCCACAGACTGGCCAGCTGAGTCAAGAGCAGAAGCGTGTGCTGACGTTAGTCCGGCCAGCGCCGAGTGGGGGAGGCTTCCACAGGTACCCGCTAGAGCAGCCCCGTGAGGGGAAGCAGCCCAAGGTGGGGGCTGGGAGTGGCCCCCGCTGCCCCCCTCAGGGGCACCAGTGTCCAGTCTGTGCCTTTGCTGCCTTAGGGTCTGTCTCCAGCTCAGTGTGGTGACTTTCCTGGAGCAGGATGGATGCACGGGTCGGTGGTTTTCTGTGAAGGGGATCCAGGGCCTTGGGGGCCCCCTGGAGCTGGCAGCAGATGGTCTGTGCCCAATGTGCCCCGGACTCTCCCTGGAGGTGCATGACTGGCCTGGTGTGCCAGAGGGACAGCACAGGGGTTAAGGCATTTTCCTTGCACTTGGCCAACCCCGGTTCAATCCCTGGTACCCCATATGGTCGCCTCAAGCCCTGCCAGGAGTGATGTCTGTGCACAGAACTAGGTGTGGCCCAAATCCCCAAATAAAGTAAAATGTTCCAAAGACTGGCCCCCTCGACCCCCTGGTCTGGAAGGGCCTCTGTCCCACACAGGGGGCTTCGCTCCCCAGTCTATTTGTGGGGCTCAGGGGCTTCCCTGGTGCTCAGAAGGCCCCTGCTGTGTTGGGGGTGGGGGGGCTTTGGCTCCGTCCTCTGAGCTCTGTCTCCCCGCACCCCCTGCCCGCATCACATGTCTTTTCGTTCTGTCTGAGCAACTGTTTTCTGCCAGGGTGTTGCCCTTGGACCTGGGAGTGAGAGCCGAGGGCAGATGTGTATCTCAGGACATGCCACCAGGCACCCTGGGCCCCGATAAAGGGTCACGGACACCCTGGGTTGAAGGGTCAAAGGCCATGGTTTGGGGGACCAGTCGATGTCATCAGCAAAACCCTGATTCAGGGGGTCTCTTGGAAACACCCATCAGTGCTGGGCGGGGACCTAGGATGGGACACCAACTGCCCGTGGCCCGCTGGTCACTCCATTGACACTTGGGCCAGAGTCCACCCACCCAGGGAGGCCCTTAGCACACAAGCTCCCCCGAGCTCTGAGCCAGGAGTCTCCCACGCCCAGAACACTGTGCCCTTCAATTCCAGGCCCCATATGGATCCCCACATGGGCTGGGGAGCAGCAGGGCCCCCTGAGCACTGAGCTGGGGTGAGCCCAAAACCAAAAATAAAATGGGGTGGTGCAAAGCCACACTCAGGTGCCCAGGGGCTGTTCATGGCTCCTGGCGGTCCTCTGGGGGCCACACTGGTGCCGGGAATGGTGCCAAATAGTTTTCCTTGTTTTGGTTTTTTGGCTCAGTGATGCCAAGTTTACTCCTGCCTCTTCTCAGGGGTCAGTGCTGGTGGGACTTGGGGGATCACCTGGGGTGCTGGGGTCAGCCGGCTGGTCAGTGCAGGGTGAGTACATAAGCATGTGTGATGCCTGTGGCCCTGGAAGCTTTTCAGAAGCAGGAACTGGGAATAAGAAGACGACACAGGTTAGGGGGGCATTGCCAGCTCCCTCAAGCACCCCCACGTGTGGTCCTGGGGAAACCCTTCACTGAGTCACCAAGAAGGGCCCCTGGGCACGATGTCGAAGCCCCCAGGGTCCCCCAAGGAAAGCAGGACCCAGGTGTGCTTCCTGCTGTGAGGTGTCAAGCTGCAGAGCCCTGCACCCTCTTCCCCTGCTGTGGGCTCTGCCTCCCCCACTGCCAGCCCTGCAGCCTTTGCCTGTCTCCTGAGCCCCCCGCCGTGCTCTTTCCTGCCGGCTGTGCCAGCACCCCCACGCCTCCAGACAGCTGTGAGCTCTACTTGCTGGGGGCGGCATGGAAGCCCCGCAGTCAAGCCTAGGGAGGGGAAGGAGAAGGGTACAGTGTGAGGACTCGGCCTGGGGAGCAGAAGGTCAGCCAGGTCCCCAGCCGCACCCCGAGGTCTGGATTACTCCATCAGGCCCACAAATTGCATTTCTCACACCCCTGGAGCTCTGGCCGCAGAAACCACTGCCGTTGCCCGCGGCCTTGCGGAACACCAGTGGGGAGCAGCGGACGCCTTCATTGTTTAAATTGTTTCCAACAGCTTTGGGGAGAGGGACATTGAGTTAAGGGGGTGACTCCTGCATTTTGGGGCCAGAGGTGGGAGTGGGCATGTGGTGCCAGGGAACATCAAACCAGGGCTGGCCACGTCCAGGGAAGCACCGTAACCTGGACCATCTCTGGCCCCTCGGGGGTGGCGACCTGGATGCAGGAGCCAGGAGGTGGTACTGCCCACTCACTTGGTACCCCTGTGCCAGGGGAGCCCACCGAGGCCGGGTTTGGTCTCCAGCATCTCGGCTGTGTCCCTCTGTCTCCACCCCACACAAGTCGTTCTTTCGCGGTTCCTGGGGTATCCTCCCAAGTCAGTCCCAACAACCCAGGGGAGGGTGGCCGGCAAGACAACTGTGGCCTTTGAGGAGTCCCGATGCGGGCAGGGCCCTCGAGGACAAGGCTATGTGGTCAGCAGCCTGGGTGGCCACACCAGCTGGGCCTCCACTCAAGTCAGGAATGAGTCCTGGGATGTGGAGGCTCAGGAAGCAGATGGGGGTGTAGCTGAGGCTCTGCCACGGCCCCTCCGTCCTGGGAAGGAGCCTGGAGGGGCCTGAGGCCGCAGGGGCACGGAATCCCACAGGAGGGGATCCCCAGATGTGGTGGGAACCGCTGCCACCTGGAGTGTGGGGAAGGGGTGGGGAGAACCGGCTCAGGGAGCACCGACCTGTCATCAGCATGTGCTTGGGTCACTCCTGAGATGGGGGTGCTGGTGAGCATGATGACCCCAAAGTCCCCTCACCCAGAGTGAGATCTGAAAGTCGTCCAGGCTTGGGGCTAAAGGTCAGGGGTCAGAGAGATGGTCAGGGGAGAAGTCGGGGTTGTAGGTTACGGCAGAGACGGAATAGAGGAGAGGCGGACACAGGGTCCCCCCAGCAAAGGTAGAAGTGATCCCTGAACACTGCCATGTGTGGCCCCCCCAAAGAAAAACATCAGGGGCCCCCAGACCAACCCGGGGTACAGCATGGCATCTGTGCTGGGGAAATCTGGGTGGGGACTGCAGAGTGAGGCAGGGGGAAGTGGGGGCGAGACAGCAGCTTCCGGGCTGAGCACCTTGGGCCATGCTGGGAGGAAGTGGGGGCTGCTGTGGAGGGGACAGCTGACCTGCAGGGCCCTGAATGCGGGGGTCTCTGAGCAGGCCCCAGGCCCGGCACCTCCCAGTGCAGTCGTGAGGCTGCAGCCGCCCCCGCCCGCTCTCTCCCCTTGTGGCCACGGCAGTTGGCGTCACTCACCGCAAGATGGCGTGGCCCCACATCCTCTTCCCTTACCTTCTGCTGCCTGGGGGCTGGGCTGTGGGCACCAGGGTGGAGAACTTCGTCCTTAGCCCAGGGCCTGGCACCCCGGTTCCCTGGGGTGCTTGCTTCGAAACTAGCACCAGGGCCTGGCCTTGCACGCACCCCACCCCATTTCCATCCCCGCTGCTGCAGGGGGCCCAGGGCACCACATTCTGGGTCCTGCCCCTCGGCCAGCCTGGCCCGCAGAGAATCTCAGGAGTGGCCTTAGGAGGCCCCTGACTCACACACAGTCTCGGTTTCGTCTCCTTTCCCCCCTCTCTCCCTCCCCCACCTAGCTCAGCTGTGCTTGGCTGCAGTCCTGGGGTGCTGCAGGACTGGGGGAGGGGCGGGGTACAGGCGGTTCTCGGGGCTCAGCCGCTGCCTCTTGCAGCAAACCGCACCTGTGATGCAACTTCTGCCCCTCGGCTTGTCCTGCTTTCCGTGTCACCAACAGCTTGACGTTTCAAACCCGGAACCCTAAACTTTGGCCCCCGAAGTTCAAAGGCGGCTCTTCCCGTCGTCCCGGACGCGCTCAAAGGCCGGGAGCTCGGCCCCCATCCCCGCCCCCCACTCCCGGTCCCAGCCGGGCCAGTCCCGAGACCTGAGACCCCGGGATTGGGGGCTGTCCTCTGCCCCTTCGCGAGGGCCCAGGAGGGAGCTGAGAAACCGGGGAGTAACCGGGGCCGGGCGGGGCCTTGGCCACGTGCTGCCGGGCCGTCAGGAGCCCGTGCGGGGCTCTCGAGTGGAATTTTTCTTGCGTTCGGATAAATGTGTCACGGCGCGGCGCTGCGGGGACAGACGGGCGCGGCGATGTGGGGCGCGCGGCGAGGACGGCGGCGGCGATGAGGCCCGCGCAGCTCTGGGGGGCGCCGGGCCGCGCGCCCCCCGCCCCGGCCGCGCCCGGGGGGCTCCCGCGCCGAGGGTGAGGCTCCGGCCGGGCGGCGGGGGGCGCGGGCTCCCGGGCACCCCGCCGGCCCCGCCGCTCACGTGGCGCGCGCCCCCGCAGGGCGTCACGTGACGGCGCCCCGGTTGCCGTGGCAGCGGCTGCGGCGCGGGCGGAGGCGGGGCCGGGGGGACCCCGCGGGACCGGCGGCAGGAGGGAGGGTCCCGCACTCGGCGCCCCGGCCGGGCCACTGGGCCGCCGGGCCACGCCAGCGCCGCCTGCCGCGACCGGAGCCGAGCGGGCGGGCCGGGCCGCGCGGGGTGAGTGCCGGGCCGGGGGTCGCGGAGGGGCCCCGCGGGGCGGGGGGGGTCGGCGCCGCCCGGGGGAAGGGGGCGGAGGCGCACGTGGAGGGGCGCCCGGCCCGCGGCCACCCCCGCCGCGGCCCGCGAAGTTCGGACGCCGAAGCCCCCGACCTGGCGCTCCCCGGCCCGGCCCGGCCGGGCGGGGCGCCGGGCAGCGCGGTGCGGGCAGCGGCTCCGGCCGCGCCTTACGTAAGGGCCAGTCGCCCCGCGCGCGGCCGAGCATCCTCGGCCCGAGGACCACGGCGGCCGGCCGCGCCCTGCGGAAAGTGGCTTCCGCCGCTTCGGGACGCGCTGCTCGTCGGAGCCCGGCTCCCAGGCGGGGTTAGAGAGGATCCAGAGGGCGGGCGCTCCATCCCCGGAACCCTGAGCATCGCCAGGGGTGCTCCCCCGCACCCCGCGCACTGCAGGGTGCGGCCCCACAACCGAGGGGGGGAGGGGGGAGGAAAAATCAAAACTTGGATTCTGCAGACACTGAAGCGCCCAGCGCTTGGCAGATCCCTGGAGCCTCCTTTGCTGTCCCTCAAGTTTGTCTGTCACCCGGCCTTGCCCTTCGACCCAAGGCTGCCAGGCAGCGCTTAGTTCCTTGGATGGGAATTGTACCAGAGGTGGGGGGGACCCAGCCTTCGTGTTTGTTGGAGACCCCAGTGTCTTTCTCCCCAGGGGCCAGGAAGGCCCGACTGCTGCTGGGAGGAGGGTGGAGGAGGAGAGAGGGCGATGCTGGGCAGCCCCATAGCCCACCTGCAGCCGGGTCCTCCCCAGGGGACCGGAGAAAGCAGGCTCTGAGTCACGGCGGCACTGTCATTGGCTCAGGATTTCTAGGGAGTCCTCTCCTGGGAAGCTCCCCAGAACAGGGGCTATCCCCTACTCCCAGTCGCCCTCCTGCAGGCGAGCTGGCCTTTGGGCAGTAACCGCAGAACACAGCACTGTCCCCTGCAACCAGTGACAGAGATCAGAGGAGAAAAGCTCTCTCCCCACCTCCAGGATCTTCCTGTTGGACCTTTTCAGTTGGCCTGGATGGATTCAGTCTCGGGGTCACTTCCCCAGCGCTGAACCTGGTCAGAACCCCTGACCTACACACACACGCTCACACATACACGACATGGATACATGTGCACACACATATAGCACACATGCCTATTCACGTATACCACATATACACGTACACATCCATGCATGCTCACATAACGGACATAACATGCACGCACACATAGCACATGCGTACACACACATAACACATACATCTGCACACACATGCACACACCCACACATAAACTCCCTGGGCCCCAGCAGCGCTGACCCCATGGAATAGCCGTAAGAGGCTTTTCTGGGACTTGCGTGAGGCGTGTGTGAGCCACTGTGAGCTGCTTCCGTGCCCTTGACGGCTGCCCTGTAGATTAATTAGCTCTGATCCGGCTGTGCCGCCCGCCGCCCCGGCCACCTGAGACCGCCAATCCCCTATTTGGATTAGTGGAGATTTGGGTTTAAATTCACAAATCTCGACAGATCGCCTTTGTGGGATCTTCACTCGACTCCGGCCAGGCCTGTCCACTTTCCTCTCAGACGTCTCCTCGCTCAGACCTGCTGTCTGCCAGAGGTTTCCGTTGCAACCCGGACGTGACTTCAGTTACACAAACGGAGTGGGGTTTTTGTTTGGGGAAGCCTTCTGGCCATGCTTTGCTCCGGAGTCACTCCTGCTGCTCAGGCGACCGTGTGGTGTGGGGGATCGAACCCAGGTGTCCCGCATGCCAGGCCTGTGCTCATTTCCATCAGGCTGTGTCTCGGGCCCAGTAGCCCAAGGGGTGAATTCTTCTGGTGAAAATCAAATCAAGGAGGCAGAGCGACAGTTAAGCGGGTAGGACATTTGCCTTGCATGTGGCCAACCTGGGTTCGATTCCGGCACCCTACACGGTCCTCGGAGCCTGGCCAAGAGTGACTCCTGAGGGTAGGAATCTGGAGTAAATCCTGAGCACTGCTAGATCTTCCCTCCCTGCCAAAAAATCCTTTCCAAAGCAAAAGCAAAATAAAACTCAGAAAATCAAGTGCAGATCTGGCCTAGGGAGACGGCTCAATGGATTGGGGTGCATGTTTTCCTGTGGGAGCCCCAGATTCAATCCCTGGCACCTTGCAGGTCCCCAGCACTATCAGGACCAGCCCCTAAGCACTGCTGGGTGTGGCCAAAAGAAAAAAAAATAGGATCTGAGTCACTCTCGGTTCCCTGGAAGTGCCTGCGCTTCACTCCTGGGTGCCAGCACGAAACTTTGATCCCTCAGGGGCCAGTGGCTGCAGGCTCCTGCTGACGGCTGGACAAGTCCCCCTGGCCCCAAGAGCGGCTGTGAAAGGTCAGAGGTCATGCTCAGGCGCGCTCAGCAGGGCAGGCCCAAGATATTCTTGCCAGGATCTTTCTAAGCGCCACAGCCCCCAGCTCTCAAGTTTCGGGGTGTTTTCCCAGTCTGTGGGCGCCTCGTGATTCCTGCTTAGCCACGGGAGCATGGAGGAGGGGTTTGGGGGGACGGTTCGCCCTAGCCCTTCCCTGCAGTTTCCCCCGTGTGCCGGGGCTTTGGTGGAGGGGGACACCCGGGCGGCCGGGAGCCGAGAGGATACCTGAGGGTCTCTCCCTGCCCCCAGCCTGGGTCCCACCATGAGCGCCGAGCTCAGCGTCCCCGCGGACCCGGCCACTCCCGCCTGCTCGGAGCCCGGCCACAAAGGCATGGATTACCGGGAGTGGGTACGTCGCAGCTACCTGGAGCTGGTCACGTCCAACCACCACTCGGTGCAGGCCCTGTCCTGGAGGAAGCTCTACCTCAGCCGCGCCAAGCTCAAGGCCTCCAGCCGCACCTCCGCGCTGCTCTCGGGCTTCGCCATGGTGAGTGCCGGGACGCAGCCCCCCCCCTCTTAAGCCCCCACTCTCCCTCTGCATCCTGCCGCGTTTCCTCCCACCCTGGACCCTCAGCATCCCTCAGGGGCGGGAGAACAGGGGTCCTAAGGTGGCTGCAGGGGGCAGAAGGCACTGGTCCTATAGGCAGCCCAGCTCACTACAGAGTTCCCTGGGCACCACCTGGAGGGATCCCGGGAACAGTCAGGTAAAGCCCTGAGCAGCCCCAGGTGTGGTCCAGAAAACAGACAAGCAAAGATGCTACAGGGTCCAGCCTACCACTGAGTGGGACCCGTGGGGCCAGGGCCGGGTCAGTTAACCCCATATGGTCTCCAAAGGCGTCAGGGTGAGGATAAGGGAGCAGAGCACCTGGCCTGACTCCCAGCCACTAACCATACTTTCCTGAGTCAACCCGCATCCCGGTCAGGCCCTGTCTGGACAGAAGCACCTGCCCGGGGATGTGTGTGGGTGACCGCAGGCCGCTGACAATTCCAGGGTGTGGTCCCCAAGGCGGTGGCAACGGCCACAGGCGCCCACAGAGATGAGACGTGGTGAAGCCAGGGCCGCCGTCTAGCCCTGACCTCATCCAGGGCAGCCGGGCCGGCGGGGACCACAGGGTTGGGCCAGGCCTGCAAAAGCAAAAGCAGGTCTCACAGTTCATTCTGTGCAGCCACAATTAGGGGAGCATCAGATCACACGGTCGAGGCTGGCCTCGCCCTGGGATTCCCTCCCCCTCCCGGACTTGGATTCCTCAAACTTAATTTTCAAGTGTAGGTGGGAGTGGCCAAGACTTGTCACAGTGACAGCTGCCCTCCGCTGGGAGCTGCCTTGTTTGTCTTTCGGACCTGCCCTTTTGTTTTCTAACTTTGTGAAAGTAACTCTGGGCTGCAGTTTCATTTTAGTTTTTCATTTGGTCTCCCTTTGGCCCCCCCGAGTGGTAATTCTGCACTTAGCAGTAAGGTCCTTGCTGGCTGGGCCAAGTCTTGAAGTCCTGTCTGCTGCTGTCTTTTTCGGGCCTGGTCTTGGGCATGTTTGCATTTCCTAAGTTTCAGAAGCTATGTCAACAAAGTACGGGGCTGGAGCGATAGCACAGCGGGTAGGGCGTTTGCCTTGCACGCGGCCGACCCGGGTTTGATTCCCAGCATCCCATATGGTCCCCCGAGCACTGCCAGGAGTAATTCCTGAGTGCAGAGCCAGGAGTAACCCCTGTGCATCGCTGGGTGTGACCCAAAAAGAAAAAAAAAAACTACAAAGGTGAAGGCTTCAAAAATCCCTCAAATTTTAAAAATAAATTGGGGGGGGGGGCAGACCGCCAGGTGTGGCCCTAAAATAAAATTTAAAAATAACAAAATTTTTTAAAACGGGGAGGGGGCAGAGCGATAATAATAATATAGCAGGCAAGGCACTTGCTTTACACACAACTCAGGTTCGACCTCTGGCTTCCCTTATAGTCTCCTGTACCCAGCCAAGAGTGATCGCTGTGCAGAGCCAGGAGTCAGCCCCGAACAGTGCCAGGTGGCACTATTCAGGTGGCCCATCCCCCCCCGCCAAAAAAATAATTTGAGATGCTATTCCTAGAGGTGCTTCTAAGTCTGTTTTTTTTGGGGGGGGTTGATTTTGGGGACCACACCTGGAAATGCTGAGGGCTGACCCCTGGCTCTGCACTCAGGGATCACTCCTGGTGGGGCTCAGGGGAGCGCATGGGGTGCCGAGGATCAAACCCAGGTCAGCCATGTGCAAGGCAAATGTCCTACCTGCTCCGGCCTCCCTGCACCTGCAACCACCCACCTCGTGCCCCCATGTCTGGTTTCTTACTGGGGGAAAAACTGGGGTAAGATGGTGAGCCACAGAATCGGGAGGGGTCTGGGTGGGAGACGGCCTGGGGGAGCCGGTGGCAGGGCCTTGCTGGAGAGGCCATTCCCGTGCAGAGTCGTCGCCCCTGGGATAGGCCTTTATGGCTGCGGCCTCCTAGGGGGAGGGTCAGGTCCTGTCTGTACCTGCTCTGGGCCTTCCGATTCTCTTTCCTTAAGAAATCACCCTGGGGGCCACAACGATAGTACAGTGAGTACGGTGTGTACCTTGCACATTAGCTGACTAGGGTTCAATCCCCAACATCCCATAGGGTCCCCCAAACACCGCCAGGAGTGATTCCTGAGCGCAGAGCCAGAAGTCACCCGAGCGTCGCTAGGTGTGACCCAAAAAAGCAAACAAAAAAAAAAAAAAGAAGAAATCACCCTGGATATTCATTGCGAATTCCCAGAATTTCTTGCTTGTGAATGAACAAAAATGACTAAAGGAGAAAGTCATTTTACTGGGACCAGGGAGTGAGCTTAAGGGGCCAGAGGGCAGGCCTTGCAGGCTCAAGGCCCCAGGTTTGATCCCTGGCACCTGAGCCCTGGGGCCCAGACAGCTGAGTGTCACCATGAGTGGCCCCCAGAGCCCCCAAGCAATAACTTAAGAGACATCCCTCCCCCCCTCCCCCGCCCACTCTCCTTTAACCCAAGCTGGTGCTTGCTCGAATTCCAGCCCTGCCTGCAGTGCCCGCCCTCCCCGCTGTCCCCCTGGCATCACCCTCCTGGCTTGAGCTCTGTGTTCCTGGCTGCGAGGCCCCGTGGCATCTGTGAAGCTGGCAGAGCCGGGACCAGATATAACTCCCATTTATTTTTGACTTTTTTTTTAATTAAAAAGTTTTTTTGGTAATTGAACCACATTCTTTAACTTTTTCAAGGTCAGTCCATGTATCAGTTTTTGCTTTGAGGACCACATCCGGTGGTGTTCAGGGCTTACTCCTGGCTCTGCACTCAAGGATCATTCCCAGTGTGGCTTGGGGGACCCTGTGGGGGGCTGGGGATCAAAATCCAGGCCGCCCACCTGCAAGGCAAGTGCCCTGCCTGCCGACTGACAGACCCGACCTGCTTACTTAATGGTGAGTTGTCTGGCTCTGTACTCAGGACCAACCCTGCCAGCACTCAGAGGACGTGTGTAGTGCCAGGGATTTGAACCCGGGTCTCAGCTACTCAGGCTGCATGCAAGGCCAGTGGCTTCCCTCCTGCACCATCTCCCCAGCCCCTAACGGTCAGTTTTGTTTAGAATTCTTGGGGTTTTCTTGAGGGCCCACACTCAGTGTTATTCAGGAGCTACCCTGGCTCATGCTTGGGGGTCACTCCCACCAGTGCTGGGGATCAGAGTCCAACCTGCAAAGCCTGTTGACCAACATCCTCCCCCCGCATTTTTTATTATTAGTAGTAATATTATTATTTTTGCTTTTGGGGTCACACCCGGCGATGCAAGGGGTTACTCCTGGCTCAGCACTCAGGAACCACCCCTGGTGGTGCTCAGGGGACCATATGGGATGCTGGGAATCAAACCCAGGTCGGCCGCGTGCAAGGCAAACACCCGATCTGCCGTGCTATTGCTCCAGCCTTCATTTTTAATTATTTATTGACTTTATTGCATGTTCCAGTGTTGGGGGATCATTAATCTGCTTCAGCTACACCCTAGCCCCACTTTTAGGGTTTTGGGGGGCTTCTTTTGCAGGGCATAGGGGTTGCACTTAGCAGACCTCATCAACTCCGGGCATAGGGACCACTCCCCCACATGCCGGGGTGGCCAGAAGTCAAACAAGGATCAACCGCATGCCAGGCAAGCCCCTTGGCCCCGTACTACCTCTCCAGCTTTACTTTTTTTGGTGTTATTTTTTGGGGCCACAGCCATCAGTGCTCAGGGCTGACTCCTGGCAGTGCTTAGGGGCCCCTGTGAGGTGCCAGGAATCGAACCCAGGTCAGCCATGTTCAAGGGAAGCACCCTCCCCCCCGTCCTTCGCTCTGGCCCAGTTTGGCTTCTTGGCAAACAGCCACTGGCGTGGGCCAAAGGTCCCGATCTTCATGCTGGTGGAGATGGTGGCCCTCCCCCGCTTCCCCGAGACTCCGGTCTTGGGACCTCGGTGGGCTCCTGGTGGGCTGAGCGGTGCTGGCTCAGGGCGGTCCTGCTGCAGGTGGCGATGGTGGAGGTGCAGCTGGAGACGCAGTACCAGTACCCGCGGCCGCTGCTCATCGCCTTCAGCGCCTGCACCACGGTGCTGGTGGCCGTGCACCTCTTCGCCCTGCTCATCAGCACCTGCATCCTGCCCAACGTGGAGGCCGTGAGCAACATCCACAACCTCAACTCCATCAGCGAGTCGCCGCACGAGCGCATGCACCCCTACATCGAGCTGGCCTGGGGCTTCTCCACCGTGCTGGGCATCCTGCTCTTCCTGGCCGAGGTGGTGCTGCTCTGCTGGATCAAGTTCCTGCCCGTGGACGCGCGCCATCAGCCCGGCTCTGCGCCCGGGCCCGGCGGCCACACGGGCTGGCAGGCCGCCCTGGTGTCCACCATCATCATGGTGCCCGTGGGCCTCATCTTCGTGGTCTTCACCATCCACTTCTACCGCTCGCTCGTGCGCCACAAGACCGAGCGGCACAACCGTGAGATTGAGGAGCTGCACAAACTTAAGGTGCAGCTGGACGGCCATGAGCGCAGCCTGCAGGTGGTGTGACAGCGCCCGGGCCCTGCACAGCGGCCACATGCACTGGCCGTGCCCTGTTGCTCATGTCCCTCGGTGAGCAGAAACTCGATGTTGCCACTTAGAGCTGTGGGCCCAGCCCTGGGGGGGGGGGGGTCCCCATGCTGGAGGCAGGGCCCCAGCACTGTCCCGGACCCCTGAGCTGGGCTGCATGTGGGGGCATCTGTGGAAGTGCCACCCCGCGGGGACACGGGCTGACAGCTCTGTCTGGTGCTGCCGTCACTGCCCTGGGTTTATGGGCTGAGTTTGGGGTGGGACCCCTGCCAGGGGCCAGGACTGGGGACATTGCCTGTGACTTCCGGGATGATGCCCTGTCTGCACAGGAGTCTGTTCCCTAAAGGGTGTTTTGGGCCCAAATCCAAATCCACCCCCTAACTGCCCACCTGCAGCTGTCCAGAGGCCCTTCTGCACAGTGGCTACTCCTGGCCGTGACCCCCGGAGTCACCCCTGGGGGTTCTGATCCAAGGCTTCTTTGCTTTTCTTGACTGTGGGTCACCGGACTCGCCCCAGGGCAGGTCTGCTCACAGCTTCGGGATGGGAGGAGGGGCCAGTGGGGGGGGCTTTTAGGAGTGGGGGAGGGGTCTCTGGCAGCTGGCTCAGCTTTGGGTTGTGTTTGAACAGCCAGAGAGGGCGCTGCCCCGTTCTGTGCCTGTGAAGTTGGAGCAGGGCTGTGGGGACCCCTCCCCCAGCCCGGAGCCAGTGTGTGAGGGCGGAGACAGCCCGCTGGCCTGCTCAGGGGGGCCAGGCAGGTCTGTGCCAGCACCTGACCACAGGCCTGGGGATGGTGGCAGGGAAGCGGGTGGGGTCAGGAGCCGCAGAGCCCAGCTGGGCATTGGGAGGGTCAGGCAGATCACGGGGGCAAATGCAGCTTCTGTTCTGGGCAAAGCCCCCCCACGGCCTGGCTCCCAGGGGCTCACTGGGGCAGGGCGGGGGTGCCCTACTTTCCTCCAGGCAGACACATACCCTGGAAGTGGGGCGCACTCGCGCAGGGGGACACTACTGGGAAGGGCTGGGGTGGGAGGAGGAGCACTGCATTGGGAGCCTCTGGACATTCCTGAAGTGGACTGAATAAACAGTTGAACGAGGAACGCTTGCCTGGGCCTTCCCGCTGTCCCCGCGCTCCAGGGACAGTCCCTCTCAGGCCTTCTGCCGCTGCCTCAGGCTCCCTGGGCGAGGGTCCTGGTCATGCAGGGAGGGGGCTGGGATCCCCCGTTGGCAGTCGCTCAGGCTTGCCTCCACATAGCGTGATATGCCCGCCCCCCCCCAGCCCCTGTGGGTTCCCAGACTGAGATGTGGGACCTGCAGAGGAACAGCCCATAGCTCCCTGGCACTGTTCCCACGTGCCAGAGTGGCCGTGGGGGCTAACGCCGCATCGATGGGGCCCCAGTCCCCAACTCTGCTGCCTACGGGTGGCTACCTCCACCCGCCACCCCCAGGAGTGGCGCCAGGAAGCAGAGCACTGCACACTTGGCTGAGTTTTGTTTCCGGGCTCTCGGGGCCTAGCCATGCCCTGCCAGGGAGGCAGTGAAGACCCAGAGTCTGGGCCAGACACCATCGTCTCTGCAGGGGTGTGAGTGGACACAAGCGATGCCAACACACTCAGGGACCCTGACCCGCAGGTGTGGCTGTGGGCGGGGGCGTCACAGGGGCCTCCCCTGGAAGGACAAGGCGATGCGCAGCAGCTCCTGCCCCAGTTCCTGCTGCTGCCCGCCGGGCAGGAAGTCGGCCGCCAGCTCGCGGAAAGTGATGCACACGCGGCGGGCCTGGATGTCGCGGCGGCGGATGGCGTGGTGCCACTGGTGGCGGGCGGCGCCACCCAGCACAAGCAGTGAGCGGCGGGGCAGCGGCACGGCCACTTCCACCTCCTGGCATGGCACGGACCTGCCGGCGGCCACCAGGCCACCACCCCACGCCTCAGGGAGGTCAGACGGCGCCAGGGAGAGCAGCAGGGAGCCGGACTCCTCCCGGGTGAGGGTCAGCACGGTGGGGGACAGCAGGTTGAGGCTCACCAGCCGCTCCCCCCACAGCCACGCGTCGTCCAGGTGGGGGTCGATGGCCGAGCCGCGCTCGGGGCAGTAGTCCAGGTTGCACTGCTCCACCGGCTGGAAGCCGGCCAGCGCCGGGTACAGGCCCATGCGCCGCACCAGGTCCCGGCTGAAGGCGGGCAGCCCGCTGAACCCCTCCGTCTTCAGCTTCTGCTTCCGGAAGTTGACCCGGGGGCCGTAGTCCTGGAGGAGGCGCACAGACATGAGGGGAAGTGCAGCTCAGGGGTGGCGGTGGCGGGTACTAAGGGTGGGGTGGCCCAGAGGTGTGTCTGGGGCTGGGGGAGATGGGGGTCAATCCCAGGCCATGTCGGGAGCAGGGGTGCACGGGGACAGCCGGGGTCCGGTGGCCGAGGGCAGGAGACTGACCCACAGGGGGATCTCCAAGGCCACTACCACCCCCGTAGCGAAGACCAATGCTGGCCCCTGTGCCGTAAAGAACAGGGACTACGGCTGTGTGGAGGGGCAGGGACCTCAGCACCCACCCACAGGGCAGAATGTTGGTGGGTAGGGGGACAGCAACTCAGTGGCCAGGTCAGGGCACACGCACTGCTGTGTTGGGACCCCTTTGTTCTGACCAGCCTGGCCTGGTTGGGGAGTCTTGACAGGCCCCTGCTCAGGAACCGCCCCCAATCACGGAGGGGCGGGGAGAAGTCCTGGGGTTGAGGTGCTTGTCTTGCATGTGGTTTGGTTCCCAGAGCCACACGGTTCCTCAGGCCCGTCCCCACCCCAAGGAAAGAGAAAAGAGGAAGGAGAGACTGCTCACAGGTGGGGGTGTTCTTGAGGCCATGGACTGTTCTGGAACTAACGAGTAGAGGCGGGGCTGGAGCGATAGTACAGTGGGTAGGGCGTTTGCCTTGCACGTGTCCTACCCGGGTTTGATTCCCAGCATCCCATATGGTCCCCTGAGCACTGCCAGGAGTAATGCCTGAGTGCAGAGCCAGGGGTAAACTCTGTGCATCACCGGGTGTGACCCAAAAACAAACAAAAAAAGCGTGGAGACTAAACCACACTAGACTAAATCAACTGGATGGCATGTGGATCCAATATAGAAAGTGAACGCAAGTATGTCAGAATGGCCCCCAGCACCCTTTTGGTGGGATGGGGGCCTTGGGGCGAAAGCCATCACCTGCTGGCAGTCTCCTCTGGGGGTCCCCCACATGGGGCTGGGATCAGGCGGCAGGTCAGAGATGGGGTGCGGGCAGCAGTGGAAAGAGGGAGTCAGGTGAGTTCTCCGGAGGGCAGGCAGGGAGCAGCCACAGACGGCGGCTGGTGGCTAGCAGAACATCCTGGTCTGTTAAGGATGTGGCATGGCCAGAGGGGCCCAGTGGGCATGGGGACGGGGCAGTGCACACACAGAGATCACCCCTGTACTCAGCCCTATGGCGAGGTGTCACGGGTTACTCCCTTCATACAGACAGCGGACAGGTGACGTGGATAAGGCAGCCCCGTCGGCCTGCGGAGAGCCAGGAGAGAGTGTGACAGGGAGACCAGAGCGCGTTCTTAAGGAAGAAAGAGTCGCCAGGAAGGGGACCCTGCGGGTGGCATCGGTGTGCAGGTGTGGCCACAGTCCAGGCTCGTTTGGGACCTCAGGCTTGGACTGTGAGGGGCGATCGCCAGAGTAAGGAAGGGCTCCCGGAAGACATCTCTGGGGGCGGGCAGGAGGGGGCTGCGCCAGAGGCAGTGCCTGTGCAGGGGGGGCGGTGGGTGAGGAGGAAAGGCTGGCCCCGTGGGGAACAGGATCAGGCAGGAGGGGGTGTGACCCCAGCCAAGGCAGGGCCCAGACAGGAACAGGCGCATGGATAGAGGAAATGAACTGGGAGAGAAAACCGGCCCGTATTCTAGCGGCCTTCTGGAAAATTCACCACTATCACCAGTGCTGGGCCAGCCAGCGGGAGGGGCTGGGAAAACTGAGGGTCCGACTGCTGCGCCAAATTGCCCCGCCCCTTCCTCTCCCCACCTCCCTCCTCCCCCACCACAACCTCCGAGGGGCATTGCACAGGTCCCTAAGGGCACACCTGCTTCCTCCGGCCAGACTGCGAGAGCCTCCAGGGGTCCCGGTCCATCAGCTGCACCAGCTCGGTCTCCTCATCAGGGGTCACGAAGTCCTCGATCAGCGTCACCCCGGAGAAGGGGAAGGCCCAGCCCTCAAAGTCCGACTGCTCAGTCCCCACGGCCCAGCCCATGTCCGAGTATATGAAACGGTTTCTCTGCGTGGGAAAAGGGGGTGCAGGCACTTGTGAGCTTTCCTCACAGGGGGCTCCCCCGAAAGCATCTGGGAAGAGCCCAAAGGTGCTTGGGCCCATCCTCTTGGGGACGGTTGGCCGAGGGTTGGCGCAGCTGAGTGGACACCTCTCGCCAGAGACAGGAAGAAACCTGGTCTCCTAAAAGAGGCATTCCCGAGCCCTCCAGCCAAGGTGGGGTCTCTGGACCACATCTGCTCCCCCGTAAGGCAGAGATGGCCAGATCCAGGCATGGGGGAACCCTTGCTGTGTGGCCCTGGCCCCATCTGCCCAGCAGTCCTGTAGTGTTGCGTGCCTGGCCATGTCTGCCCAACAGCTGTATTGTGTAGTGTGTCCCAGCCCAGTCTTGGCCTCACTGTCAGGTCTACACAGCAGTGAGGCCTCCTGCTCCATTCTGCCCTCTCGTAGGTTTAGAGGTATCACTGCACCGCAGGCCCGAGTCAGGTCCTCTGTGTCCACACACGGGGCATGTTCCAAGAGGGAAGTTTCCCTGTCCCTTCCACTTGACCCCCAGACATCATGTAGGGAAGGTGCTGTCTCATGGGGCCCCAGTCCCACCCCAAGGCTTACTCAAGACACAGCTTAGACCTTTGCGCTTGGGGTCTGGCTGGTTTGGGGCACTGGTTGTTTGGGGGGGTGGTGCTTGGAACCCAGAGCTTCACACCTGCAGTGCATGTGCTCCACCGCTCAGCTACCCCACAGCACCTGTACCTCTTCGTTTGTTTGGGGCCCTAGCAATTTGTTGCTGGGGGATCGCTGATCCTGAAGGTCATCAGGGGAGCAGGGAGTGCTGGTAATCAAACCTGGCTGTCCACAAGCATCTTCACCCCTGTCCTGACCCTTATTTTTAACTTTTATTACTAGTTCACAAGAGAATTATTACAACACTGTTAATGTGCATGGTTTTACTTATTTTCCTTTATTAGGCTACACCCAGGGGTACTCCGGGATTACTCCTGGCTCTGCGATCCTCTCCTGGCTCTGTGCTCAGGGATCACTCCTGGTGGGCACAGGGGTCCAGACTGAACCTGGGTCAGCCACTCTACCCACTATACTATTGCTCCAGGCATTTTTTTTTGGCTTTTGTGGGTCACACCTGGCAATGGTCAGAGGTTCCTTCTGGCTCTGCACTCAGGGATTACTCCTGGCAGTGCTCCGGGGACCATATGAGATGCCGGGGATCAAACCCAGGTTGGTCGCGTGCAAGGCAAATGCCCTACCCACTGGACTATCACTCCAGCCCCTCCAGGCACATTTTTTAGGAGGGGGTTGGGCCATCTCAGCTGTGTTCAGGGACCCCTCCTGGTGGTGGTGGCAAACCCTTTGTGGTTCCAGGAATTGAACCCTGGGTGGGCTGCATGCAACACAACTGCCTGACCCACTGTCCTCTCTTTGAGACTTAGCACAGACACAGGAGGTTTCAGCCCTAACCTCCCAACCTCTCCACCCTCCTATCTGCTCTGCCAACTCTCCAGAATTTCAATTTCATTCAATTATCAAATCACATAAGCTTCCTTTAAAACCAAGTGCTCTTGGGGCTGGAGCAATAGCACAGCGGGTAGGGCGTTTGCCTTGCACGCGGCCGACCCGGGTTCGATTCCCAGCATCCCATATGCTCCCCTGAGCACCGCCAGGGGTAATTCCTGAGCGCAGAGCCAGGAGTAACCCCTGTGTATCACCGGGTGTGACCCAAAAAGAAAAAAAAAAAAACAAGAAGTGCTCTTGGTCCTCGGCCTGCTCAGTGGTGACGGGCACCCACACCTGGAACGTCACCCTCCACCCGTGTCCTTTTCCCTTAATTGGAATCAATTTCCTCCTTGCCCACTTCTGGCCACAGACTTTCGGGCACCCTGCTCGTGACTTCTAGCACCCTTCTTGCCCTCCCGGTGTCCTCTGCCCACATCCAGGGGCCCCGGGGAGCTGCTGTCTGGTTCTCCCCACGTGCCACACCCCAGCGCCCCAACCCGCCCGAGTCCGCCCCCCAACGCTCCATCTCACCCTGCACGGGGCAGAGCGTGACAGCTCCTGGCACGGGCAGCTCCAGCCACACGAAGGATGGAGGCGTCGGGAGGGGGTGGGACGGCGTCCCTCCAAGGTCCTTACCTGTGGGGCGTGCTGCCAGGGAGGGTCGTCCCCGCTCTGGTCCTCGCAGATCAAGCAGCTCCGGATGCCCTTGCAGCCGCATTCCCGGGGGACCTCCGGGGTGGCCACAGCTGTAGCCGCCATCGCCGCCGCCGCTGGCAGCCAGTGCGCAGGCGCGGCTCGCGAGGGCCGCCGGGAGTTGTAGTCTGCGCGCGGCGGAGCCCGCTGGGGGTTGTAGTCCGCGCGCGGTGGCGGGGGACGCTTCCTTCCGGTCGCCTCTGCAAACCACAAACGCTTGGAGCGCGGCAACGCCTCCTGCATCGCCTCCCGCCTTCGGCTCGGGGAGGCGGCCGCACGGACTCGCCGCCGCTCATCCTTGGCCATGGGACCCCTCACGGCTCGGCTGCTGATGCAGCGGGGCCGCCCCAAGACCGACCGGCTGGGCAAGATCCGGAACTTGGAGTAGGCGGCGACCCTGGGGTTCTGTTGGACCGTTGGCGCGCTCGGGACGTTAGGAGGGCGCGGGGCGGCTGGGAGCTCAGCTGCCCCCGGGACCGGGCGTTGGACGGGACCGGGCGTTGGACGGCGGCTCAACGGCCAGGCGGGGGGCGGACACTCACTGGCGGAGAGCGGGCGGGGGCCCGGGGAGCAGGGGAACCTCGGGCGCCCCGGGTTAGGTGGGCGTGGGTGGAGAGGCCGGGTGGACCCGGCAGGTGAAAGTTGTTCTGGGCATCCCGGACTGAGGCAGGAGACCCGCCATCCCCTAAACGAGGCCTCCCCTTACCCCCCCCTCCCCTCGCCAGCCTCTCGGGGCTGGAGCTACTCTCGGAGCACTTGGACCCCAAGCTGCTGAGCCGCCTGAAGCAGCTGCAGGAGCTGGACATCTCCAACAACCAGCTGGACTCGCTCCCCCCGAACCTGGGCTTGGCACACCTGCGGGTCCTGCACTGCTCCCACAACCAGCTGACCGACGTCACCTCCCTTGCCCAGTTCCCACAGCTCGAGGAGCTCAGCCTAGAGGGAAACCCCTTCTTGACTGTAAGTGGGGAGCCCCCCACTTCCTCCGGGGCTTCGGTGTGGGTCGTTCTGCTTGTAGTTAGTTCTCTGCCACCAGCACTTCTATTTCTAATTGCCCCTAAGTGGGTTGTTTTATATGGTGGTGATTTTACCTTTGTTTTTTTTTTTTTTGGTTTCGTGGGTCACACCCGAACAACTAGATCCCCTGCAGGCAGAGTACCTGCTGAGACACTCTCTAGTCCCATAGTGTTTGAGTGGCACCTGAGGGTGTCAGACCAGGTAGTGCCCAGCCCTCTGAGCTGTCTTCGAGCAGAAAGTAAGATTCTCAGATACAGCGAATATTTGGGCCAGAGCGTTAGTACAGCGGGGAGGGCATTTGCCTTGCACGCAGCTGAACTGGGTTCAATCCCTGGCACCACATATGGTCCCCCACATTTCTCTAGTAGTGAACCCTGACTATATAGTCAGGAGTAAGCCTTAAACACTAAACAGTATGGCCCAAAAGTCAATTAAAAAAAAGGGGCCTCTGGGCCAAGAGATAGGACAGCTGGCAGGGTGTTTGCCTTGCACACACCCAACAACTGCATTTGGTCCCCTGAGCATTGTCCTGGAGGGAGCCTTCCGCGTGTGGCCCAGAACCAAAAGAGAAAGAAATGTCCCTCTTTGAGTTTTCCTCACTTTATCTTTTTCCAGTGCAGCATTGTCTGGATTGGGGAATGAGTAAAACTGATGAAAGCAGGGCTGGAGCGATGTTACAGTGGGTTTGGCGTTTGCCTTGCACACGGCCATCCCGGGTTTGATTCCCAGCATCCCATATGGTCCCCTGAGCACTGCCAGGAGTAATTCCTGAGTGCAGATCCTGGAATAACCCCTGTGCATCGCCAGGTGTGACCCAAGAAGAAAAAAAGAAAAAAACTGATGAAGGGCTGGCGGTAGGACTGGGGCCATATAGTACAGTGGGTAGAGCACTTGCCTTGGATGAGGCCAACTCGGGCTCAGTCCCTGGCACCCGTACCCAATATGGTCCCCTTGAGCATTGCTGCTGGGTGTGACCAACCCCCACAAAAAAAAAGTGGGCTGGTAGCATAGAACAAGTATCCGAGTCTGGGGAGGTTTTCTGAGCCCCTAGGCAGGCCCCCTTGACCCACTCTCTCTCCCTCCCTGCTCCAGATTAGTGACAGCCTGAAAGCCGCCTTCCTCCTGCCCAACCTCCGCAAGGTTAATGGCAAGGACGCCACCTCCACTGCTGCGCAGGGAAAGAGCCTGAACCGGGAGCTCACCAGCAGGGTAAGGGGGCCCAAGCAAAGTGCTGGGGGGAGGCCCTGTGGCCCGCAGCCTACAAGGCAGGGTCCGGGTATTATGTTGACACAGGTACCCACCATGCTCTGCAACTCTGCAGCTTCTAAGAGGTGGTGATGGAGATGGAGTAAGGGATGCGAGAGAGTCAGGGGCTGTTGGCCGGGGCCAGGCCTCCATCTGCTTCCTCTCCCGCCAGGTCACTGCGTACTGGGAGAACTTCATGGCCTCACTGAGCCCCGAGGAGGCCCTGGAAAAGGCCCAGGCTGAGTTTGTGAGCTCAGCTGTCCGGGATGTCCGCTACGGGCCCGAGTCCCTCAGGGACTTCACGCAGTGGCGGGTAGGTCGTGCCTGCTGCCCTGGCTTAGTTCTCCATCCCCAGACCCTGAGGGGCTGTGGGGGCTTCAGGAGGGCTGCGGGGCGGGGGGCGGGGGGGGGGGGGATGCGGCTGTGCCGAGCAGCCTAACAGCCCAGCCCTGCCCAGGTGCAGAAGATCTCTGAGGCACTGGTAGCCTCCGGTGGAAGCTACAAGCAGGCCAAGGAGAGGCGCACCCAGGAGCCCAGGGTGAGTGCGGCTTTCCAGGGGTGATACCCAAGAGTAGTAGCAGGGCCCGCACGCATTCTCTCTGACCCAGGCCAGCCCGTCTCCATCCCTGGGAAGGTGGAGGCCACCGCAAGAGGGAGGAAAGGAACCGGACAGAGGGGCCTGGGGTTAGCAGGCACCTGGCCCTCACCCCATCCCTGTGTCCCCAGGCCAAGACGGCAGCCCCCAAACGGCTGAAAGACGCCTCTTCCAGCCACGTGCCCAGCAAGCGTGTGTGTTCTTCCCACTTGGGGAAGATGGAAGCAAACCCCCGGGAGCTTCGGGAGGTGAGTCCACGGGGGTGGCTGGGAGTGTCGGGGGTGGGTGGGGAGCTGACTTCTGGGCAGTCCTGAGACTCCCCCACCCCGCAGTCGGACCTGGAGCTGGAACCCGTGCACTTCCTGCAGTGCCACAGCAAGAACAACAGCCCTCGGGACCTGGACACCCAGCTGTGGGCCTGCGCCTTCGAGCCGGCCTGGGACGAGGGTACCCGCTGCGGGGCGGCTGCGGGCGTGGGCATGCCCCTGGGGTGGTGGCTGTGGGCAGGTGGCCCAGAGAACGCTTGGCCAGGCTGATCCCTCCAAACGGCGCAGGTGCCGCATCCCAGACGGTGGCCACATGTGGCGGGGAGGCCGTGTGCGTCATCGACTGCCAGACGGGCATCGTCCTGCACAAGTACAAGGCCCTCGGGGAGGTGTGTGCGCGCCCGTGTCTCCAGGCCCCCCGACCACCCAGCCACCTCCTCCCTGTCCCTCCCTCCCCAGGCCTTGTCCTACACGCAGATACTAAGTTACCTGCCACCCACTCTCCCATCCTAGGAGTTCTTCTCCGTGGCCTGGACTGCCGTGACAGTGGTCACGCATACCGGCCACAAGAAGCGCTGGAGCGTGCTGGCGGCTGCCGGCCTGCGGGGCCTGGTCCGCCTGCTGCACGTCCGTGCTGGCTTCTGCTGCGGCGTCATCCGCGCCCACAAGAAGGCCATCGCCACCCTCTGCTTCAGCCCCACGCACGAGACCCACCTCTTCAGTAAGACCCGGCCTGCAGCCCTGACCCTAGGCTGGACCTCAGCGTTTACAGCAATCCTGGCCACTGTCTGGGCTTTGCGGGGAGCGCAAGGGTGGATGGTGCTGGGGAGCAGACCCAGGGCCCCATCCCAGGCCTCCCTGGAGCCCTGCGGGGTGCCCATGAAGCTGGAGAGGGTGAGCAGGTCAGAGCAGGGCCCCTCATGACCGCCGATCTCTCTCGTGTCCCCTCAGCCGCCTCCTATGACAAGCGTGTCATCCTCTGGGACATTGGAGCACCCAACCTTGACTACGAGTTCCAGGCCAGGTGAAGCGGGGGGCCAGGGCAGGCCGGGCTGGGGGTGCTCCAGCCTGAACTCACGTGCGCCTACTGGCCTCCGCAGGCCCCTGCTCACGCTGGATGCAGCCTCCATCCCTCTGCGCCTCTGCCCGGTGCCCTCGTGCCCCGACACCTACCTGCTGGCTGGCTGCGAGGGCGGCTGCTGTTGCTGGGATGTGCGGCTGGACCAGCCCCAGAAGAGGAGGTGAGGGCACCCGGGCACCTGACACCGCACCTCCCTCCTCTTCCCGGGAGCCCCTGCAGTCGTGTTCATAGTGGTTGGGTTTCTTGTGGTTTTCAAGGGGTGGGGTGCTCTGGGGTCACTCCTGGTGGGGTGCTGGGGATCAAACCCAGGTCAGCCCTGTGCGATGCAAGTGCCCGACCCAGAGGGATTTTTATTGCTTTAGGTCTTTATTATTTTGGGCCACAGCCAGCGTGGGTGCTCAACGGCTGTTCCCGAGGTTTCCCGGGGGGGGGGGGGGGGGGGGGGTTGTCTGTGATGCTGGGGTTACACCCCGGCTGTCTGCATACAAACTGTGCCTCAGTCCTCTGCCCCCCCCCCCCCCGGCCCCAGTCTGGAGTGTGTGTCCCTGGCACTGACCCTGGTCATGGCACAGCGTGTGTGTCCTGGCGTGGCCCAGGCCATCTATGTGTGCATCCCTGGCCTGGACCTCCTGTGTATTGTGTGTACATGCGTGTGCATGTGTATTTGTGTGTACATGCTTGCATGCATTTTTTTTGTGGGAGCTGCTTTCCCAGTGTCGCTTGTTCTCATCAGTCGGTCTCGGGGGGTTTTGGCAGTTCTGGTTCCACTGGCCTGTTTGATCGCTGGAGATTCTCCAGGTGGGGGGCAGCACAGACCATGGCAGTCTGCCAAGTGGTGGGGACAACCCTGTGCCACACTGGGACGGTCAGCTCTGGGCCTCCCTGCTGTGTGGGTCGGTCCAGTGTGGGGGCCCTTTCCAAGGGGACCCCACACAAACCATGCCTCAAGCCAGTACCCTCGGGCTGACCTGCGCCCCTGCTGCCCCCTACAGGCCGTGTGAGGTGGAGTTCATCTTTGAGGGTGCCAAGCCAGGGTCCCGGAGAGTGGACGGGCTGGCTTTTGTGAACAAAGACGTCGTGGGTGAGTGGGACCACCTGGGGTCCCCAGGGAAGGTTGGGTCACTCTGTGCCTGGACGGGAGTCTGGAACAGCCCCTCTTCTCCTCCCACAGCCTCCAAGGGAAGCGACCTGGGTTCCATCTGCCTGTGGAGCTGGAGCCAGACCTGGGCGGCCCGGGATGGCCAGGCCACCGTGGGCGTGGTGGTCCTGGCAAGGCTGCAGTGGTCCTCCACCGAGCTGGCCTACTTCTCACTCAGCGCTTGTCCAGGTGAGCTGCCCACCGGCCCCTGTCCCCTCCCCTGGGCGCTGTGCCCGCCTGCCCCCGCTGAGGCCCGATGTCCCTGCAGATGAGGGCATCGTGCTGTGCGGGGACGAGGAGGGCAGCGTGTGGGTCTATGACGTCCGCCACATCCTGGCTCAGCCGCTGCCTCTGCTGGCAGCCCCGCAGGCACCCATGCAGGTAAGCGCCGCCTGCTCCCTGGGCAGGCAGGGAAGGGGGGCCGGAGGGCAGGGACCCAACACCTCTCTCCTCCCACCAGATCCTCAAGTGGCCCCAGCCCTGGGCTCTGGGCCAGGCCGTGACCAGGACCATGGTGAACACGGTGGTGGCCAACTCCACCTTCACCTACCTCACGGCGCTCACCGACTCCAACATCGTGGCCATCTGGCGGCGGCTGTAGCTGATGGCGGGAACCGACTATTTTTATTAAACTATTCTCAGTGTACCGGAAGCCTGTGGCAGTCTGTGGGCCCCACTGGGCTCCCCTCTGCCCACACCCCAGAGGTTGCTCCGGAATGAGCTCTTTGCGCCACTTTATTGGGAAGAAAATCTATGTACAGACATGGCTGGGGGGAGGGAACGCGAGGCGTGTACACCGCAGGGCATCTACACAGGGAGAGCCGCCGCTACTCGATCCCTTCCTGCTTGTCTTTGATGGCCACCTGCAGAGGAAGAAGAGTCCGGTGAGTTCCGGGCTCAGTTGTGCGGGCCCCCACACTCAAGGATGCCTGGTGGGCTCACCCGGAAGCGCTCCTCCAACAGGGAGAGCTCACTGATGAGGTCAGTGATGGCGTTGGTGAAGGCCTCCTGGGGGCTGTAGTCCGGCGTGGTCTGCACGCGGATGATGATCTTGTGCTCCAGGGGGTGTGGGACCTTGTAGCCGGCGAACAGCACCTGCGGGTCCTTCAGCAGCTGCCTGAGATACAGAAAGGGGGGGGCGGTGAGGCAGCCCCTCACGACTTATGGGGAGACCCGTACGCAAATGCAGCTGGGTGCTGATCCTGGCACTCCCCACTCGGCTCCCGGCTTCCAGGTGTTCAGCCTCTGTAGAGCATCTGGGTTCAGACCCGACTCCAGGAGGTGCATGCCAGCAAAGCACCCTGGCCCCACTAGCATCCTGAGGACCCAGGACCCCAGCTGGGAAATGGGGGGACAGCAATCGCTTCTCTGCAGCCCTGTTTCTAGACCAGGAGCACCTGCACTGCAGATGGGGTGACGGGGAGAAAGGGAAAGGGAGATGCCAGGTTTGAGAGCAGGGGTGCAGCCGCCTCCCCTCCTTGTATCTGAGGCCAGAGCAGCAGTCGCCACTGGCCACTCCTCAGCCAGACACACAGGAGGTCAGGATCACGGGGGTCCTGGAGACCTCCTGCTTCACAGGAAGAACCCAACGGGGTGTGGCCCGGGCCAAGGCCAAGTGTCTCAGGGAGACCAGTGGGATCCCCAATCACACGTGGACCCATCAGGCCTATTGGCTAGGGGTCCCAGCACTGCTTGGGAACCCCCTAAACACCCTCCTCTGAACGTCAGGTTGGACACTGACAAGTGGGCTAGTGTGTAAGGACAGGGCCCCCACACGTGCCCCACTGGACACTGGCTCTGCTGCTCCCTCTGGGAATACAAAGCAACAGCTCAGCACACACACAGGCCGCGCAGGGCTGGGAACCTGCAGGAACCCCAAGCCCTGGTCGGCCTCAAGACCCCCAGTCACCACCCCGGCCCTGCCCCAGGCTCACGACTTAATGATGTTCCCCAGCGTGTGGTCTTCCTTGTTGATGGTGAACAGGCAGGCGTTGGGGACCTTCGTGTCCTTGTTAATGGTGATCCTGGGAAGAGACAGGATGGATGGGGCACGGCCCATCACCACCAAGCAGGCCGACCTCACCTTCCGGGCAAGCGGGTCTCTGGTTCCAGCCCCTGCCCGCCAGCTGCAGCCCAGTCTACGGGCCCCACCCGGTTCTCAACATTCCTTTCCAAAAGCAGCTTCTCCACTTGGGAAACCATCTAATTTTTTGGGTGCTGAACACACTGACATCGGGCTCATGCCCTGGCACGTGTCACCAGCGACTCTCACTTGGCTGTCACCTTGGACAGATGGTACCACCACACAGGTGCAATACATAGTTCAGCCGGCTGGTTTAGTACATTGAAAAAAATCCCGCAGTTGGAAGTCAGTTTGCTTACTGATAATTTCAAAAATTCCTATTGAAAGCAAGTGAGAATTTGCTTTGGGGTCACACCCAGTGATGCTCACGGGTTCACCTGGCTCCGTACTCGAGAACTACTGGCAGTGGACAGGGGACCATATGGGATGCTGGGGATGGAACCCAGGTCGGCACGTGCAAGGCAAGCACCCTCCCTGCTGGACTATTGCTCCGACAGTCTAACACAAGTAGGACTTAGTTCCCAGGGCCACCCCTGCGAGTTAAGCGCAGGCCTAACTGAGCTCCTTCCCTCGGAGGGGACTTCAGGAGGCTCGGGTTAGCAGCTTCCCGGATCCCTACAAGTGGATGCCAACTGAGAATGTTTCCAGGCACTGTCAAATGCCCCTGGGGGTGCACACAGACCCCCAGCTGGGCTCCCAGGCAGAGCCCCACTGAGCACTTTGTCCTGCCCCCTCCTTCCATCTCCCCCAGACGCCCCTGTGATCAGTCTGAGCTCCTTTGCAGAGAACTGGGAGCGCCGGCAGATGCTGTGGGGCAACGACTTTCCGGCCCCTTGGCAACCTGATGAAATAAACCTTCAACAAAAATAAATCTTTGCTGGCTTCTGCAGCACCTAACAGTAAAACTGGAACAATACAGCCAAGAGCAGCACGGCCGCTGAAGCGCTCCCCGATCTCCCAGCAATTCCGCTCCGAAGCATCTACCCGCAAGACAAACATTCATTCAAACGGACAGGCAAAAAAATGTGAAGAATGTGAGCACAGCATTATTCACTGGGGAACTCAGTACACACCTAAGATGTCAATCAACCCGGTGTCCAAGACAGGATTATGCTGTGGTATAGACCCACAATGCAGCACTGCCCAGCAGCATGGAAAGATATCACTGTCACTGTCCTCCCGTTGATCATCGATTTGCTCGAGCGGGCCCAGTAACATTGTGAGACTTGTTACTGTGTTTGGCATATCGGATACGTCACGGGTAGCTTGGCAGGCTTTGCCTTGCGGGCAAGATACTCTTGGTAGCTTGCCGGGCTCTCCGAGAGGGGTGGAGGACTCGAACTCGGGTCAGCCATGTTCGCTGCGTGCAAGGCAAACGCCCTACCCGCTGTGCTATCGCTCCAGCCCAACGGAAAGATGAAATCAGGCAATTTGCTGAAAATGGATGGAACCGGAACATGCTCAGTGAAGTCAGCCGGGAGGAGACAAACAGGCCAATCTCACTTACCTGTGATGTAAAGGGGAGATGTAATGCAGTAAAGGGGAGATGCCTAGATACGCCTTGACACCAGAGTAGGGAGAGAAGGGCAAGAAAAGAAGCTGGAGCCTCAGCACAGCGGGGGAGGGTGTTTGCCTTCCACGCAGTGATAGTACAGTGGGTAGCGTGCTTGTGCTTGCCTCACACATAGCTGACTTGGGTTCGGCTCCCGACAGCCCATATGGTCCCCAAAGCACCGACAAGAGTGATCCCTGAACGCAGTATAGGAGGAAGCCCTGAGCAGCACTGGGTGTGGCACAAAAAGCAGGGAAAAAAGGAAAAAGGAGAAGGAAGGAAGGAAGGAAGGAAGGAAGGAAGGAAGGAAGGAAGGAAGGAAAGAAAGAAGGAAGGACGGACGGACTGGAGCGATAGCACAGCGGGTAGGGCGTTTGCCTTGGACGAGGTCCACCCGGGTTCGATTCCCAGCATCCCATATGCTCCCCCGAGCACCGCCAGGAGTAATTCCTGAGTGCATGAGCCGAGTGTGGTATAATTCCCCTGTGCATCACCGAGTGTGGCCCAAAAAGAAAAATAAAAAAAGAAATGGAGGTGGGAAAGGAAGAAAAAGGAGTTAAGTGGGGAGTAGGGGACGCAGACCTAACGTGGGGGCGTGGTGCAGCTCTGCATCCAAACCGGAGTCGGCAACGCTCACTGCCGGAGACCCAAACCCCAGCCCTGTGCGGGTGAGAGGCTCACCTGGCACGCGCGGCGGTACGCACGGCCCCCGAGCATCCCCGAGCATCGCCGGCATCCCTGAGCATCCCGGGCGTGTCCCGAAGCCCCACCCCCGAAGAAGCCCCGTCCCGGAGACTGCAGCCGGTGGCGGGACGGCACCGGGACGGACACGCCTGACCCTTTCAGGTCAGGAACTCGGCGAAAGTGAGAAATGACCGTCTCTGAATGATGCTGACGATCTCCCCCACCCCCGCCCCAGGCACTATTTATTTCTCCAGCTCCCGAACCCACGGAACCAGCTACTACCCGTGTACGACCGCGCGGCCGGCCCGACGCGGTGACCGCTCGGGAGCGGGGTTGCGGGTCCCGCTGGCCGCCCGCGACCTCCCGGCCCCGCCCGCCAGCCCCGCTTACTTCTTCTCGCCCTCGAAGAGCAGGAACGACTCGAAGGCGGGAGGAGCGTTCATCCTGGCGCGGCCGCCGGGCCCCGAGCAGCCGGAGCCGCCGCCGCCGCCTCCGTGCCCAAGCGAGCGACTGCTTCCGGGTCACGGGGAGGTGACCCCCCGCCAGGTTGTCGCCCGGCCCGGCGCCCCCCGGCGGACCGGAGGAACGTGCGCAGGCGCGAGGCGGCTCCGCGGGAGCGGGAGGCTGAGTCTGGAGCGTTTCTGGGCGAGCACAACAGGTTTGGACGCGTCCTGGGAGTGCGGGAGGCCAACGCCGCTAGACCGAGCCTCGAGCAGACGAAGTGGGAACCCCGAGTTTTGCTTTTCTGGGTTTTTCCCCTTTTGTGTGTGTGTGTGGGGGGGTGGCGTTGTGTTGATTTTTTTTTGGGGGGGGGGGCTGGAGCGATAGCACAGCGGTAGGGCGTTTGCCTTGCGTGCAGCCAGCCCGGCCCAGCAGGGTTCAATTCCTCCGCCCCTCTCAGAGAGTCCCGGCAAGCTACCGAGAGTATCTCGCCCGCTCGGCAAAGCCTGGCAAGCTACCCTTGACGTATATTCAATATGCCAAACACAGTAACAACAAGTTTCAAAATGGAGACGTTACTGAGCCCGCTCAAGCAAAATCGATGAACAACGGGAGGACAGTGGGTCACTGTCCACTGTCACTGTAAGGGGTGACTCCTGGCACTGCAATCAGGAATTACTCCTGGCTTGGGGGACCATATAGGATGCTGGGAATTGAACCCCGGTTGGCCACCTGCAAGGCAAACTCCCTACCCGCTGTGCTATTGCTCCAGCCCCGGATGTGTGTTTTTCAGCTACACCTCGATGTGCTCAGGGCTTACTCCTGACTCTGAACTCAGGGAGCATTCCTAGGCTCAGGGGACAATATGGGATACCAGGGCTTGAACCTGAGTCAGAAGCCTGCAAGGCATGCACTATCTCTCCAGCCCCCAGGCTTGGCCTTTCTGCGTTCCCACGACTTGACTTGTTGGGTGTTCATGGGCTTGTCAGCTGAGGAGGAAACGAAAGGGAGGCAAGCCGATGTGTGGCTCGGGAATAAGTATCACTCCCTGCTTTCATCCCTTGGGATTTTGCTTTTTGACTTTTAGGTCATACCCAGTGATGCTCAGGGCTGGCTCCTGGCTCTGCACTCAGGAATTGCTCCTGGCGGTGCTCGGGGACCATATGGGATGCGGGGGATCCAACCCCATTCTGCCAAGTGCAAGGTACACACCCTCCCCGTTGTGCTATCTCCCCTCCCTTGGGAATCTGCAGAGCTCAGCTTTGTGTAAAACCCCTGCCAGCTGGGGTCTCAGTTCCTGGCGCCCTATGAGCTTCCTGGCTATTTCTCAGGCTGGGTAACATCCCAGGAACCCTCCAAAGAAAGCCGATGCTTCTACCCCAGGATCCAGGCCAGGGCCATTCCCTCCTAGGCTTGTGGATGAGGAATCAGTAATCTGCTCTCAGGTGGGGGGTGGGGCGGGGAACGTGAAGGGCGCTGTGGCTGCTGCCTGTGCTTGGAACCCCACCGTTCTGGGTCTTTCTGGGCAGGTCTGAGCCTGGGGGCTGCTGCTCTCACCAGCTGCAGGGATGCGGCTTAGGGGCCGCCAGGTGCAGGGGACGAGGCTAGACCAGGGCCAGGAGACGGTCTTAACTGGGCCAGAGCAAGGAGATGGTCTCTGCCCCCAACCCTGGAAACCGGATGGAGATAGAGTGGGCAAGTGCTGCCCACTTGACCACCCTCCAACCATGGTACACGGTCCCTGCACAGATTATCAGGCAGAAAACATACAGGAAGAACAGAACCGGCCAAACAGAACTGCTGCAGCGGTGAAGGCTGCGTTGGGCCACATTATGCCCCTTGGGTGCATTTTGTCTGAATGCTTTTGTGTCTTTTGAGTGTGCCTGGTAGGGGGTGGGGCATGGGTTTCTGCCCCTTACTGAGAAATGAGGCTGATCTCTGCTGGGGGCAAGGGGGGGGGGGGGGCTGTTGGGCAGCCAGAGAAGGTTGGCTGGGTCTGGTTCAGCTGGCATAGACCAGGCCTGGCCGGGCCCATTGAGGTCAGAGGGGCAGGTGGGGGTGGCCGAGTCTGGGCCAGCCTGAAAGGGCCAGACCGTTCCAGGCGGGGCCAGGCTGGAGGGGCCAGCCAAGCATGGCCGGACCTGTCCTGTCCAGCAGGGGCATGGCTGGTCCAGGCCCAGACAGGCTGGTGGGACTGGTGTGAGGTGACCGGGCCTGCCCTGGGGCAAGCATGGTTCGGGCCTGAGTTAGCCGGCGAGGCCAGCAGAAAGTGGTCGGGTGTGGACCAGCCGGCAGGGGCCACACCAGAACAGGGCAGGTCAGTGGGGCCGGCCGGGGATGGAAGGGCCTCGTCGAGCCAGCAGGGTCCAGGACGGTCCGGGCCCAGCCAGGCCTGCGGGGCTGGCTGGGGTTGGCAGAGCCTGGACTGGCCAACTATGGCCTGGCCCGGCAAGCAGGGGCAAGACCGGTCCAGGCCCAGGCAGGTCAGCGGAACTGGCTGGGGGTGCTGGCAGGGCCTTTTGACTTTGCTCTTTTTGATTTTGGGGTGTTTTGTTTGTTTGAGGGCCATACTCCTGGTGGTGCTCGAGGGAACCTAAGGGGTGCCGGGGATCGAACCCCTGACGGCCACAGGAGCAAGGCAAGTGCTTCCCGTGGTCCTCGTTCACGGACCCTGCTTTGCTCTATATTGTCCGATGAGATTCTTTAGATTCTTTATTTTTCTTGCCCCCACCCCCCGCGACAGCTCTCTTGAACTTTAGCTGGACCAGCTTTTTTTTTTTTTTTTTTTTTTTTTTTTGCTTTTTGGGTCACACCTGGCAATGTTCAGGGGTTACTCCTGGCTCTGCACTCAGGAATCACTCCTGACAGTGCTCGGGGGACCATATGGGATGCTGAGGATCGAACCCAGTTCGGCCGCGTGCAAGGCAAACGCCCTACCCGTCGTGCTATCGCTCCAGTCTCTAGCTGGACCAGCTCAAATGACGTTAGAAACAGCTTCATCAAACCCGTCCCCTTTTGAGTGTGTGAGAAATGAAAGTTTACTGCTTCACATTCCATGCGTGTACGGCCCCACTGGGTTCTCTATGGGCACATGTTCTATCTCACTGCGCATCTGGGCTGTCTGAATTTGTCTTTTAACCTATTTGAAAATCCACCTTCGGAGTGTGAGGCTGAAGTGGAGCCATGCCAGGCTCCACTTTAAGACCAAAACTCAGCAAGCCTAAGTTTCAGTTTCCCTTATCAGAAAGTCCCAACTTCTCAGAAAAAAAAATATCACCCTGGGGAGATACACCGACCCATGGGAACAGCCTATCAGAGTAGGGAGCCTGGGCAGTGGCGCCCAGCCAAGCAGAGAGGGCCGAGGGAGTGGAGTCACGGGTCAGGACTGGGACCAAGAATTGGAAACATAGTGTTGGTCCCTGGAGTCCTAGGACAGGACTGGGCCCAGAATTGGAAACATATTGTCAGTTTCTGGAAAAATGCTATTATGTAACCAAACCCTATATAAGCTGCTCAGAATTCGGAGTGCGGGTCCTTGTCAAGAGTCCACTGCTTTGGATGAGACTTGGACTTCGAGCTAGCGATAAAGGGGCCTTGCATTTGCATCCTCGCATCTGGTCTGGTCAATGTGCAAGTGAAACACCCCTCCCGGGACATAAGAGGAGGGCAGAGAGCGCAGGGGCCGGGCGCTTCCCTGTCACATGCTGGCCCAGGCTTGAACCCCAGTACCGCCCATGAGTCCCCCCCACAACCCAGGCCTGCCAGCCAGGAGTAATCCCTGAGCACCACCAATGTCTTTAGTTCAAACACCCCCCAAATAGAGTCACCGAAGACCCAAGTGTTGGGGGTGCAGCTCAGTTATCCTGCGGGGGCCAGCGGGGGCGACGACCAGGCCCTGACAGGCTCAGGGCCACGACCAACCAGCCAGCAGCCTCACAGTTCGGCTGAAGGGCCCCTAGGGCACCAGGACAGGGAAGGGGCATCTTCAGGCTCCCTTGCTCGGCCGGGACTTTCCTTGACTCTCCCGCGAGGGCCTGGTCTGTGGCCTGCCCAGGGCCCAAACGTGGCTGGATGTTGAGTTTGGGGTCACATCCAATTCAGGGGCATGGACCCGCCCCCCCTCCGCCTGTCCTGTTTGCGGGGGAGGGGACTGGGGGTCTGCAGAGAGAGCAGCTTTGGCCCAGGACATGGTGACACGGGGAAGCTGGGGAGACACCGAGGTGTCCCCATGGGTGGTGGTTGAGGCCCCCTGCCCACCTACCCCCAATCAGGAGAGCCCAGAATGTGGGAGTCACAGGTTTATTGTCCCCGAAAGCACCTCCACGAACGTGTGCGGGTGGGCGTGGCCTGGTGAGGGCCCGTCCCTTTGGCTTGTGTCCGTCCTCGTTCTCGGTGTGGCCCTGAGGGGCTGTGGGGAGCAGGGAGAGGCGCCCGAAGCACTCTGACCGCCGGGGACCCTGGTCCCTGGCCTCGGCCTGCAGTGAGAATCAGCAGTGTCCCGGAATCGGGGGGCGCATGTCAGGGGCTCACGTCTGCGGCTCCGAGGCGGGGCGCCCCTCAGCGACAGCGCTGTGGGCCTGGCGGAGTTCCTGCAGCACCTGCAGCAGCTGGGCCAGCGGGGCCCCGCGGGCTGGGGTGGACACAGGCTGTGAGCTGAGCTGAGATCAGGGGAGGGGCGCCCCCACGGAGGCCCACAGGAAGGACCTACCTTTACCAGCGGCTGTGAGCTCTGCGCCCTCACTTAGCCTCCGATGCCTCTCCCTGTGGGAAGGGACCCAGTGAAACTTCTGGGGGCACCAGAGGGGGTGCAGGCCCCTCCATGGCCCCAGCTAGAGGTCCAGCTCTAATGGGGCAGCTGCCATCTGTGGGGATACTGGAGAAAGCAGGCAGAGGGGGGCTGGGACATGGCCTGGTAAAGAGGCTGAGGGTCCAGTGCTGGGGTGGGTGGCCAGTGCCAGCATGGCCAGTCCCAGACCTGTGCTGGGCACCCGCCAGCCCCATCAGAACAGCAAATGGGCCAGGCCAGCTCTGCTTGGCTGAGGGTCCCTGGAGGCCCCAGGGTGCCACCCACTGGGAGGGTGCAGGCTGCCCAGTGGTGTCACACTGGGAGGGGGATTCTGCTAGTCTCAGGCCCTGCCTGACTCCTCGGGGAGAGGAACTTCCCATGCTGGCTGCCCGTTCCCCGCTTTCCGAGTGCTCTCAGTCACCTCTGACCTTTTTACAGGGGCCCCATTAGCCAGAACCACCATCCCATCTGGGCTTCGCCCTAGCCACCCTGCCACATTGCAGGAACCAGAAGATGCCACGGGTGGCACCTGGGCCAGTGCCTTCAGGGCCCCGGGGTGAGGCGGGGGTGTGGGGAGGTAAGAACAATTGCAAGAACAGTCACTGTGTGGGTGGGCGAGGCTGAGCCCTGAATCACAGCACCGACCACGGGAAATGGGACCAGAAGAATCGCCCCCCCCACACACCAGCCCGCGAGCAGAGGGAGGATCTGGAGGGTGCTTGGGGGAAGGTGCCCTCGGGAAGCCCTGGCTGGCCCTCAGTGCCCACAGTTTCAGGCAGCTACAAAGACAGCGCTGGCAGGGGCAGGAAGTCGAGGCTGCGGTTCCTGTGAAGGCACCAGACACCCCCCAGCCCTCGGCAGGCGCCTCCCCACGGCCCCAGGGTGCAGACACAGGGGTTCCCCTCGGCCTCCCCCAGTCCTCACAGCACGTGGGCCTCCAGGCCCAGCAGGTGGCGGTAGACGAGCTGGGCCTCCAGGTCAGGGTCCAGGGGGTCACTCCACTCCCGCAGCGTGACCCGAGAGCGGGTCCGATCACAGCCCAGGTCTGGGGGAGACAGAGGCAGGGCTGAGGGGAACCCAAAGCTTCTCCTCCAGCTCCCTGGAGGTCAGGGGGCAAAGCAAAGCTGGAGGGGACGGGGGCCTGAGCACCCCCACACTTCTGGCTGTCTGCCTGGACCCCTAAGCTTGGACAGGGAGCCTGAGGATCCCGGGTCTATGGACCGACTGGCCCCACATGCAAGGGTGCAGCCAGCAGAGGGCGCCCTTAGCCTCAGTGGCCCAGTCACTGCTGCCCTGGTCAGATCCACAACCGTCCTTCCAGGCCCCACTCAGGCACAAATGCACAGCTGAGGGGGGGCGGTGGTTGGGGTCTCACAGCTGTGGCCATGCGGGACCCTGGGACGAAAGCTTGACCTGTCTGCAGGGGGCTGGGGCGCCAAGTTCGGGGAACAGCAGGGAGTTTGGCTTGGTTGGTTTAGGGGCCACCCCAGCAGGGGTCATTCCTGGCACTGTGCCCAGGCGCGTCTGTGTGATGCTGAGGATCGCCCAGGGCCGAGGGTGAGGTGCAGGGCATGGAAGACACACAAGGCCAGTGTGTGAGCATCTCGGCCATCACCCTGCCCCTGGCAAACAGAGGCTAATGTGTGAAGTGGGTGGGGAGGAAAACCTGGAACATTCTAATCTGTGCTGGCCCAACTAGCCACAGAAGGTGGCTTACGTTAGAAGTTCAAGGGGCTGGAGTGTTCGTCCAGTGGGTAAGGGGCTTGCCTTGCCTGTGGCCAACCTGGGTTCAATCCCTGGCAGCTCATATAATCCCTGAGCACCGCCAGGAGTGATCCCTGGGCACAGAGCCAGGAGTAACCCCTGAGCATCACTGGGTGTGACCCAAGGAAACAACAAAAGCAATTCCGAACATTTTCATTCCATTCTTCAGCTCACCAGGCAGACGGAGCACAGATGGGGACCAGTACACCCGTTCCCACAGCACCCCCCCCCAGTTTCCATTGTGGTGCTCCCCATTAAGGGGCAAGAGCAGCCTCAACACCGTCAGGGGCCACTCTGTTCCCTGATAAAGGGCAGAAGTTCAAGAGAGTGCTGAGAAACTTTTCTGGAAAGCGGACAGTCGGCGAATCCATTTGGGACCCTCTGTGTTCAGGGTTCTTCCTGGCGGGGCTCGGGAGACCTTCTGGGGTGCTGGGCTCCAACCTGGGTCGGCCACATGCGAGGCAAGCACCGTACCCGCCGTCCTATCTCTCTGGCTCCGGGACCCTGTTCTAGAAGTTCCTCTCTGCGGGTCCCACAGAGACGCCCCATGCGGGGCTGTGTGGTGCAGGGGGGCGGGGGCGCTGCAGTTCTCAGAGCAGGCGACCCCTCCCCCCACTGCGATCACTGCACCACGATCTCGCGCACGGGGCAAGACCAGCAGCCACAGTCTGAAGTTAGAGCATCACACCCCCCAGCATCCTGGCCGCACCCCCAGCAGCAGGAAACGGAGTGAAGAGGGAACAGACGAAGCCCAGCGGGATTCGAACCCCCCACCGCACCTGTCCTGTCGCGCTGCTGGCAGCAGCTCCACTTGTCCCCGCGGAAGACGCCGGGGTGGTAGGAGCCCAGCAGCCCCGGGTTGTTGATGCTCCCCTTGCGAAGCGCCGACAGCCACTGGTTCAGCTCGTTCATGCACTGAGGGGCCGGGGGAGCTGTCAGAGGCCGCCTCCTCCTGGAAGCCCTCGCTCACCGACTCTCCCAGACCCCCACTGGCTCTGCTGCCCTGGGCAGATTTGGGAAGGCCCAGGCTGGATTTCAGTCACACTGGCAACCCCTGGACCCAGCAGGGAACCCATGAGGGCAGGACCTCCAGGGAGGGGCCGGCAACCTCTGACCCCCAGTCTTGAAGTCACTCTGGGAAGCAGCCTCTCCCCACCCCACTTCCCCCACAGTGTCCCCAAATGGCAGCCGAGCAAGGGTCCTTCCTGAGCCTTTAGGAGGTGGTGCCCCTCACTGCCAGGTCCGACTGCCCCCGCCCCCTGCCCCCAATTCCTTTAATTTCCATCAAAGCATCACCACCATGTCACTTTCCTTTAAAAATACTTTCCATAAAAGGGACCAGAGCAATAGCACAGTAGGGAGGGCATTTGCCTTGGCTGTGGTCAACCTGGGTTCGATCCCAAGCATCCTATATCGTCCCTGAGCACCACCAGGAGTAGTTGCTGAGGGCAGAGCCAGGAATAGGCCCAGAAACAAATGAAAAAGTTTAGCAGTTGGGGCTGGAACGATAGCACAGCAGGTAGGGCATTTGCCTTGCACAAGGATGACCCAGGTTCAATTCCCAGTATCCCATATGGTCCCCCGAGCACTGCCAGGAGTAATTCCTGTGGAACGCTGGGTGTGACCCAAAAAGAAAAAAAATGGCAATTAAAGAATAGAATCACAGTTTATTTAGTTAGTTTGGGGGCCTCACTCAGCAGTGCTCAGGTATTACTCTGGCTCTGCACTCAGGGATCACTCCTGACAGTGCTCAAGGAACCGTATGTGTTGCTGGGGATTATACTTGGGATGGCTGTATGCCAGGCAAGTGCCCTCTCCACTGCTCTATCTCTCCAGCCCCTATGTGACATTCTGAAGAGGATTTGGGGATCCCTCACCTTTCGGGGGATGTGTCAGGAGGGCAGGGACTGTGTGCTCTGCCACTGTGCCCCCAGCGCTCACCCCCAGGACTCTGAAAGGTCCAAGATTTCTTGGGTAACATCACTTCCCCATCAAAGATTTTCTCTTATACAATTGGCATTAAAAAAAAAAAAAACTCGGGAGACAGCAGGAATTAAGTTTGTCACTTCAAGACCTCTCACTGTGAACCTGAAGTCAGTTCCCAAGTCCTTGTGGTGGTTGATGCCCAGAGAGCACAGACTGTCCTGAGACCCCCCCAGAGACTGGATGGCAGGTCAGACCAGGAGGGGACCAAGCACACACGTGGACAGGGAAGCAGGAGGCCACACAGGAGCGTGGGCCCAGCCAGACCCCAGAGTGTGCCACATGCAGACCTGACTACAGGGCCACATCTGTGACCACACTCCACACAGGCCTGCACACACACACACACACACACACACACACACACACACACACTGAGGTCAGATCTATCTATCTCACACACACACAGACCAGATATAGCTCTCTGTTTCTTTCTGTATCTCTCTGTTTCTCTCTCTCTCTCTTACACATACACACAGATGTCAGATCTCACACACACACACACACACACACACACACACACCAGCTCAGCTCTCACACACACACACAGGCTCGGCTCACACACACAGAGGTCAGATTCACACACACACACCCCAGCTCAGCGCTCGCGCTCTCTCTCTCTCTCTCTCTCTCTCTCTCATACACACACACACACACGCACACACACGCTCAGCTCACATATACACACACACATGTCAGATCTCACACACATACATAGAGGTCAGATCTCACACTCACCCACACATAGAGGCTTAGCTCACACACACAGAGGTCAGATCTCATGTACACACACACCCCACCTCAGTTCACACACACACACACACACAAGCTCAGCTCACACACACAGGCTCAGCTCACACACACAGGCTCAGCTCACACACACACAGAGGTCAGACCTCGCGCACGCACCTTGCACTGCAGGTACGCTGTCTGGGGTCGGCCAGCGTCGTCGGTATAGATGACCTGCATGACCAGCGCGCTGCCGAAGCTCTTCTCCTCCACCTTCTCTGCGGCCCGGATATTGGCCAGCTTAACGAGGGCGCTTTTCTGGGGTACAGGGGAAGGCAGGCTGGGGGTCCCAACGGAGGCCACTTGCTCCCCATCTCGGACCCCAGCCTTCTCCTGGAGTGGGGGGAAGGGTCCCTATTTCCCACGTCCCCCCGTGCTAGAGGGCCTGAGCTTCCCTGGGACCCCGGCTTTCGCAGGGCCTCACTCCCCCACTCCTACTTTCTCAGGCTCCCCGTGACACCCCACCTCCTGGTGCTCCCCCAGCCCTGCCCCACTGACCCTGTTCCCCGGGGACTCTGCACAACCAGCCCCCAGCCTGACGTCTCTGCCCCAAATTCTGCCCGTCAGGGAACCCCCATCATGGGAACGCAGGGTCTGGGGCTCCTCTGCCTGGTTCCTGCTCAGGGACTGGCTTGATGGAATGCTGCTGTCCTGGGAGGACTTGGGGACGCATGGGCTGTCGGCAGAGTCACGAGTACCCAAGGGAAGGAGAAAGTGCCACATGGGGGGGATGCAGAGAGGTTCCCAGAAGGGCAGGGCCCAATACTATAAAACAGGAGAGGGCCCGGAGGAGGGGAGGCCAGGCCACTGACCATGGACAGGGGACCAGGGCCAGGCACTGCCCAGGGCTGAAGGAAGGGGTGAGTGGCCTGCGAGCTGAGGCCCCCAGCCCCACTGCAGCTGCTTCATTCTCCCCAGATGCCCAGGGCTAGGCCGGGCACCCCAGCAGAATGGGGTCCACACAGTAGGAATCACCAGCCCATCAGGAAGAGAAAGATAGTGTTTTTTTTTTTCTTTTTGGGTCACACCCGGTGATGCACAGGGGTTACTCCTGGCTCTGCACTCAGGAGTTACTCCTGGCACTGCTCAGGGGACCATATAGGATGCTGGGAATCGAACCTGGGTCGGCTGCATGCAAGGCAAACGCCCTACCCGCTGTGCTATCTCTCCAGCCCCACGATACTGGGTATTTGTGAAACAACCCTTGAGCCCCGCATCTTGCTAATCGTCATCAACCTGGTGAGTGGCAACTATCCCTGCAAGGTCCAGGCTCAGAGAGGCTGGGACACCTGCCCTGGGCACACAGCACTGGAAGCTGGCCCCCCTGTCTATCTGTCCTACTTCCCAGATCTCCCCAAACAGCTCCCCCTCCCCCTCACCCCAGCAGCCAGGGCAGAATGCTCCTGGCCCTAGGCCCTAAGTGCCCTGGAGATGACACCCCCAAGTGTCCTGCCTGGCTTTCTGCTCTGGCCAGCAGACATGGGGCCTTTGCATCCTGGAGCGTCGATCTTCCTTGCTTACCTTGGAGTTGGCCGTCTTGGCAAAGCTGAGGGCTTCGGTGGTGAGGGAAAAGTAGAGCTTCTTAAAGGAGGAGGACATGAGGGGGCCCTTGCCCTTGGTCCTGTGGATGAAGAGCGGTCCCTCCTTCACTGGAAGCGCCTGCAAGCTCAGTGACCGCTGCAGGTCCAGCTCTGTCGGGCCAGAGAAGGGAGAAAGATGAGCGTGGGAACCGCAGGGTGGGAAACTTGTGGTCACGGGCTCTGGGCGGAGCCACAAGGCGGCTGAGGCGGGTGGGCGGGGCGTGATGTGGGTGGAGCCAAGAGGCTGTGGTGGGATCACAAAATTGGGGGGCGGGGTCAGGTCTAGAGCAGGGGCTTAGTGGGTGGGGCTACCATGAGGCTGTGGGGCCACAAAACTGGGTGGGCGGGGCCAGGGCCTACGGGAGGCCTCAGTGGGCGGAACCTACATGAGGCTGTGGGCCCTGGAACCGGGTGGGCGGGGTCACGACCTGGGGCAGTACCTGGGGGGAAGCACTCACCCTCCTTCTCCTGGATGTCCACCAGCTTGGTGATGAAGTCCTTCAACTGGGCCACACCCTGGCGCACGATGGGCTGCAGTGGCTCCATCCAAGCCTCTTTGGTCCTGGAAGCTGGTGTGTCCATGTTGCCTACGTTCTGCACTGCCTGGGGGTGACAGTGGCCAGGCCAGCCTCTGCTGGTGAGGGGCCCAACCACGGCAGAGACAACAGCCACCCCCACCCCGCCAGACCTACGCAGTCGGAAGGGAGGAGATAGGTGTGGCACAGGCTCTGCTCAGCGCCCCCTCCAGCCCCACTGGGGATTGGGGTGATGGGATCAGAGTTTGGAGTCTTTAGGGACCTGAGAGTTGAGACAACTTGGTCCGAACCTGTGGTCTCTCTCTCTGTAGGCTGCATCAATCTGCTTCACTGGGGCCCCAGAGCCCCCTTTCGGGGCTGGGTAAATAAGCCCGGGCGAAGGTGCACCGGGGAGTTGGCAGGCTGTCATGGGCAGCTCTGCTCCCCCCATCCCCCCAGACCTGGTCCTGCTTCAGGAGCCTGGGGGACGATGACAAAGCTTTGCAAACTGTGCAGGGTGGTGCCACGCGGCCGTCGCATCAGTGGCCTTGCTGCCGCGCCTTCCACGAGCTAGACGGAGGGCCACCACGCTGCAGTCCGTGCGAAGCCCCCTGCGGGCGTCCGCCTTCACCACGTCCTCCCCTCCCCCCACCACCGCACAGCCCCGCACCTTGGCCAGCAGGAGCAGGGTGCGGCTGGTGCGGGAGTCCGCGTGCCGCTCCCGCAGGTGGAAGAGCTTGGGCGCCAGGATGGCGGGAGAGAAGAAGCGCAGGCACAGGAAGCTGGTGACGGCGATGAAGGGCACGTTCTGGAAGGGAGCGGGAGAGCCGGCTGCACGCGCGAAGTCGGCCGCGTCCGCGCCCCTCCCCCAGCCTTCGCGCCCCCGCCTACCTCGTGCTGCTCGCCGGGGAAGCGCTCGCGCACGCGCACGAAGAGCTGGCGGAAGGTGGCGCGGAGCACGGTCGGGCAGGCGCGCACCGAGCGGCTGATGGCGCTCAGCAGCGCCCCCAGGTGGCCGCGCAGCGTGTGCGCGCTCTGCTCCAGCACTTCGGCCTCGGTGGGTGGGCGGTGCAGCCCGGAGCACCTGCACGGGGCTGGCGATCAGCATCTACCCACCGGACACGAACAGGGGCTCCGAGGACACGGGGCGGAAAGGCGGGCAGAGGGGCACCCAGACCGCAAACAGGTGGGCGGGGCGGGGGTCGACCCAGGAGAGACGAGCAATCCATCCCGAGGGACCTGACCACCCCCCAGTCTCACCCGACGTCCTTGACCTCCACTTTGCTCGGGTCCAACTCCACGTACTTCTTCTCCTCAAACACCTTGTCGATGATGGGGCCCAGGACTCCGTGCAGATACCGCAGCCCGGCCACCTGGAGGCCACCGCACTCATTGTTCCCTGCCTCCAGCCCCAACCCATCCCCCACAGCGGGTCTCCCGGACCGGACCGGGCCAGGCACACAGGAGGGAGGCCTGACAAACTGTGCCAGAGGGGGAGAGGGAGGGGGGAGAGATAGCCAGGGTGGGCTCTGAATGTGGAGCCTGAGTTTCAATTCTGCTCCTCATATTTTTGGGGGGCACACCCAGCAGTGCTCAGGGGTTACTCTTGGCTCTGTGCTCAGGAATTACTCCTGGCATTGTTCAGTGGACCCAATGGGATGCTGAGAATTGAACTCAGGCCAGCTGCGTGCAAGGCCAGCTCCCTCCCTGCTGTACTATTGCTCCAGGCCCCCAGTTCTGGCCGTTGCCTATAAGACGAGCAGCCGCCCACAGCCTCACCTTCAGGAGAGACTCTGTGGATTTCGAGGCCAGAGAGTTGCTCCGGAACAGAGTGTTGGTCTCACCTACAAGCAGATTCCCGTGAGGAAAGGGGACTGGGAGAGGGGCATGGGAGTTTTGAAGAGCTCATACGGCCTCGGGATTGGAGGGGCCTCAGCTGGCCCCTCAGTGACACGCTCCTGCCTCCTCTTCATCCCCCATCCCAACTCTGCTTTTTAGTCTTTCTTTGGCCTCCTAATCTGGCCCACCAGCCTCCTACAAGAAGACCTCCTGGCTTTCTTGCACCCTAGCATCCCTGGGGTGTTGGAGCCCACATCTCAGGCTCACTGGTGCGGCCCAGCTCTAGCTGGAAGAGAAGGTCCAGAAATTCTGTGGCCAGTCCCTGGCCCAGGAAAAGCTTGAGCAGATTGGTGGCCACTTCCTGGCGGCACTCGGCACTTGTCAGCTCCTCCAGAAGAGGGATCAGCTGTCCTGGGTCCTGCAGGGGGCAGTGATGAGGCAGAGCTGAAGGGCGGGGATCCCCAAGCCCCAGGGGAACCCCCCAGCCCTGCCTCTGTTGGGCACTTTCCCAAGAAACAGGGTGGGCCAGGTCATCCCATGACACCCTGGGAGCTGGATGTGTGCTCTGCAGGGCAAGTGAGGGGCAGGGCATAGACCCTCGAGGGGCCCCTCACCTCCGTGCCCATTTTCACCTCCTGGCACAGTAGCTGCACCAGGGGCCGGTAGCAGGCAGAAGGCAGCACCGTCTCGTCCCGCAGACGCACCTCCAGCTGCAAGGAGCCCAGGTTGTCCCTGGAACAGGCAGCCGGTGACCCACATGGCCAGGTTCCCGGGCCTGCCCCTGGGGTGCCCACCACCTCCACCCAGTCCACTGTGCTGGGCCTGCCCCCAGGGGCAGCTCTGAGCTCCCATGTCATCATGATTCTGCACAGCTCCAACACCCATTCTTTGTGGGGTTTTAATTTAGGGGCGACACCCTGCAGTGCTCAGGGGCTACTCCTGGTTCTGAGCTCAGAAATTTCTTCTAGTGGTACTCTAGGGGGACGCTATGGGATGCCGGGGAATCAAAGCCAGGTCGGTGATGAGCAAGGCAAACCTCCTCCACACTGTACTGTCACTATGACTTTTAGGGGGGCTTCTCAGCAGTGCTCCGGGTTCGGGAGGTCACTTCCAGCAATCTCGCTTAGGTGTCGTGCTGCAGTTCTGCTCTGGCCCAGCAGAGTGTCTGGAGTGTCCACAGCCACAGCCACAGCCACAGATGGGCATCGGAGACCACTAGGGCCATCCCCACTAGGCCACACCCCACGGTGTTCAGGGATAAAACTCAAGGTCTTGTAATGCCAGATACACACTTGAGGCAGCTCTGGATTCTTGATTCCCATGGGGTTCTCCATGGGGACAGACCGACTGGCCTCCACTGTCTCAGAAACACCCACAGGCTCCTCTAGACTTCCCTGGACACGGAGCTTGAGCCCGACATGGGCTGGCTCCCCAGACTTGGACACTCCCAGAGACATTCCTGCAGGTACCCGCTCTGTCCAGAAATCAACCCGTACCCTGGCCCGCATGCCCGTAGAAACCGGCCACCAGAGCAGGCCAGCCCCCACACAGCCCTCCCAGGTGCCAGCCCCTGCCTCCCTGCTCTCCAGCGCCCCCTGCCTGCCCCGGGGGGCACAGGGCAGCAAAGTTTCAGCTGTTTCCAGAGAAATGAAGAAACCCTTGGGTCGCTGCAAGTTTGCAGGATGCTTTAATCCCCACAGTGACTTAATAAGCCATGTGGGGAATACAGACCCGCCTCTTGAGAAGCTGGGCTTGGGACTAGAGAGATGCACGCTGCAGACCCAGCTCAATCCCTATGCCACCCCCCAATCCTGGCCAGAAATGACCCCTAAGCGCAGAGCGCTGCACAACCAGGTGTGGCCCGTCAACCAAAACAATGTGTATCGCCTTGCTGGGAAAGAGCGCCTGCGACGAACCATGCTCGGTCCCTGCACTATCTTCGGAGTGCCACCAGGTGGCGCCCGAAAAGAAAAAGAAAGAGGGGTGCCAGGAGACAGAACGGTTTAGCGTGTGACGCCTGTGAGGGGCTTGTCTTGTAAGACACCATCTCCGGGGGCGGCCCTGGAGGACCCAGCCTCAGGAGAAATGGCCCCCAGGCCCTTAATCACTGTTTGGGGGGCCAAAATAAATAAATAAATCTCATGGGCGCAGATCAGCAGGAAACAGGAATGCTAAATAGGTTTCTATGATTAAAATAATAAGAAGTGATTAATAAAGGGCTGGAGCAATAGTTCAGCAGAGAGGGCATTTGCCTTGCACACAGTTGACCCGGGTTCAATCCCTGGTATCCCATTTGGTCCCCCAAGCACCGCCAGGAGTGATTCCTGAGTGCAGAGCCAGGAGTAACCCTGGAGCAGTGCCAGGTGTGACCCCCCAAAAAAGCCCAAAGTATTAATAAGAAACTTATAATATTAATTTTTAAAATATAAGTATTTTTGGTTGGGGGCCACACCTAGCGATTCTCAGGCATTGCTCCTGTCTCTGCATTTGGGGATTTCCCCCCTGGAGGTGTTCAGGGGACCATATGGCTACCAGGGACTGAACCTGGGTCAGCCCTGTGCAAGGGAAGGAGAGAGCCCACTATACTATTATACATATTATAGTTTCAAATTTATGTATAGTAAATAATAAACTACATGAATTATTATTAAACTCATAGCGACTCAAAATCTAGGCTTGAGTATAGACCCCTGGCACCTCCTGCAGGAACGGCCTGGCCCTGGGTGCCCTTTCCTCCCTTGCCCCACCCGTGCCCACCCACCAGTGTCCCCAGAGCCTGGGACCGCCCACTGGCTCCAGGCCGCACACTCACTCCTGCCGCTGACTCTTGGACCGGTCTGGCTGCAGCAGAAACCAGCCCTCCTGGCGCTGGGCCAACCTCAGGTTCTGCACACTGACCTCCACCTGCAGGGGTGCAGAGGGGCGCGCTGGGCTGGGACCCACAGGCTTTCCAAGGGGGTGTACCCTCGGGGCGGGGCGGGCGCTCACCCTGCCCAGGAAGTCATTCCGGCTGACCAGGTCCCAGTCCCAGGCCTCCACACACAGCACATCCGCAGCCCCTTCCTCCAGCTCAAACTCGAACGTCTCGTTCCAGCGAGGGTAGCGAGATTTCTTGACAACCTGCCCAGAGAGGGAGAGATGGGGCGGAGGGGGGCATGTTTGACTCCGGGGAGGAGGTAGATCTCACAAAGGACAGGACTGCCTCTGGGTTCTCTGCAATAACAGAGACCAAAATTTTTTTTGCGGGGGTGGGGGCATATTCAGCGATTCTCAGAGGTTACTCCTGGCTTTGCACTTGGGAATCGCTCCTGGTGGGACTGGGGGACCATATGGGATGCTGGGGTTTGCACACAGGTGGGTTGCGGGCAGGGCCAGGACCCGAACTGCTAGACAGTTGCTCCAGCCCAAAACTTTCTGGCCAAGCCCCAATCCTTTTCTCAAGCGGGGACCCCGAGGTCCCAGTGGTTAGGGTCCCGGGCTGAAGGGACACAGGAGCAAGGGGGCAGATGGCGGTGGCTGGCGGCGTGGTGGGGGAATGCCTACTGAGCCTCCCTGGCCCCTCACCGAGGTCTCCTGTGTCCGGCCGTTGTAGCGCACGCGGACAAAGGGGTCGGATGCACCGTTGCGGTCCCTGGACGCCAGGTCCCTGGCAGGAGGGGAAAGACCCACTGTCACCCAGCTCCCCAATCCTGCCGTCCCCACCCCTGAGGTCAGCAGGGGCTGTGCCTCCCCTGTAATGAACCCCAGTGCCAGGGCAATCACAACCTGAACCCCACGGGCTCCACTGCCAGGCCAAGGGTCCTGCAAGGTGGAGGCCCTGGGGCCATTATTGGGGGGGTTGCTCAGGGCTCACTCCTGGCCCTGCACTCAGGGATCACTGTTGGTGGGGCTCTCGGGACTCTGTGGACTCGGGGACTACCAGCACGCCGGGCCCCAGGCCTTTCTCACTAGGCTGGGGCATTTGCACCTGCTCTGTCGGAGGGGCAGCAAATAGTGGAGGGTGAATGGAACCCCCGAACCTGTTTCCTCACCAGCCCGATGCTGATGGTGACCCAAACCGCTGCTTCTCAAAGTGGGTGACAGCATCCCTGGGGGCACGGGAATGAGGGGACTGAAGCAATGTTGCTGCTTTTCCTCTAGAGGGCAGCATCAAGGCTCAGGGGTGACTCCTGGCTCTGTGCTTAGGGGTCACTCCTGGAGGGGCTCAAGGGACCACCGCATGCAAGGCCATCGCTCCAGCCCCCTGTTGTTGCTGCTTTTTTTTCTGAAAAGGGGGCAGTTTTAGGATGAATAAATGTGGGACCCTCTGGCTCAGAGGATGGGCTTCTCGAAGGCCTGCCCTTAGCACCTCTTTCCTTGTGGGGGGGTCTCGAGACTGACTCCAACCATTCCTCCTTCTGCCCGCCTTCCCTCTCCACCTGGTCCTCACCCACAACTGTCTGGGCACCCCAAGCCAAAGTAGAAGAAACCCCAGGGACATCCCCCCTACTCCCCAGGCCAACTCTGCTCTTTCACACATTTCATCTTGGTTTTCCCGCCCCTCAGAATCAGGCCCCACGATCTCTGGGCTTGTCCTCGAGAATTAATTCTTCCAGAAGGATGAGGAGAAATGTTCTTTTTCTTCCTCTTGGTTTTGGGCCATACCTGGCGGCGCTGAGGGTTTAATCCTGACTCTGTGCTCGGGAGTCACTCCTAGCAGGCTTGGGGGACCCTATGGGTGCCCAGGATCAAACCCGGGTTGATCAGGAGCAGCGCAGGCGCTCACCAGCTGGACTCGCGCTCGGGTCTTTTTCCCCCGCTTTTGGTTTTGGGTGATGCTCGCGGCTTACTACTGGCACTGCACTTGGGGATCATTGCTGCCAGGGTTGGGGGAGATATTCTGGGCAGTCCCCGGACTGAACCCAGGGCAGCCAAGTGCAAGGTTGATGGCCTAATCCAGTCCCCAAAGAAATTATTTTTTTTCTCCTGGAACAAAGCAGGGTGGTACACTAGCTTGGACCTCCAGCTGGGGTCTGTGCTGAGGACCCCAAGGGACAGTCCCGCCATACTCAGAGGGAGGCCAGCACCTTACTGCTCCCTGCAGGGCAGGACTGGGCCGGCACTGTATTCCCTGGCGCGTGCACGGCCATTGGCCAGAAACAAGGATAAGGAAGTGGGCGGCTGGCAGGGGGCAGAGCCTGGCACGTGATGTCAGGGAAGGGAACGGGAGGAGGGCAGTCAGCAGGGTCCTCATCTTCAGGGGGGAGGGAGCTTCCTGGCACCTTCCCGAGGATCCCTTCCTTCCAGCCCTGGGGGAGCCTGGCTGTGGGCCAGAGCCTGGGCAGAAGGGGCTTCCCAGGGCATGGGGTGACTCACCTCAGGGCAGTGGCGTCTGCAGCTAAAAATATCTGGGGGGGGGGTCCTGTCACAGGTGACTCAGCACCCACCTCTCCAAATCAGATGATCCTTTTTTTCCCACCCCTACCCGTTTGGGGCTGAATGACAAGTTTAGGGCCCCCATTATCCCATCCATCCACTCATCTCTGATGCCCAAAGCACTGCCCTGAGAATCTCACCCCTGGGGGCCCCCTGGGGAGCTGGCGCTAGGTGGGGGCAGCTCTGCAGTGGCCGGGTGGGTGCCCAGCCCCAGCTCACCTGGCCTCCAGCACGCAGCAGCGCAGCCGGTCGCGGGGTGCAGGCAGCACCTCTAGCCGCAGGTGGATCTCACCCTTCACCTCCTCGTCGGGGTCCACCTCCGTCAGGTGAGCCCACCCGCAGAAACCTGGGGGGCTGCGGTTCAGCCAGGGTCTGGTCCCCCCAGCCCCCACCCTCCACCCCATGACAGGTGCCCAGCATGGAGATGGGGCAGGGGCTCTGGAGCTGAGCAGGGGGTGGGGTCCAAAGGAGGGGGGTAACCCCGGGCCCCATATCCTCGCTATTGGGCCGCGTTCTGCTTCCCCGGGGAGGGAGAGGCTCTCTCGGGGGCCTGCCCAGAAGACCACCTAGTGCCCAGCTGGGGGAGGCGACAGGGAGCTGGGGAGCAGACCGCTTGGGCCTGCGGGTGAGTCAGCAGGTCTGCCACTCCCGCGGCCTGCTGGGCCTCACGGACAGGAGCAGGTGTGACGGCCCCCCCCCCCCACCCGCAGCCCAGCCCAGCCCCGCACGGCAGGAGCCCTAGGGCGTGACCAAGGAGACTGAAAAGGCTGCAGTGAAAATCAATTTCTTTGTGATTTATTATTACCAGTGTTTGGAGCCCAGCTTTCCAGAGCCCTATTCTAGGCGCCGACACATACACAGTTGGTTGGGGGGGGGAGACTTGGAAGCAGCAGCCGTTTGGGGCTCAGTTTCAAGAGGGGGACATACTCGGGGGGGCCCAGGTTGCCCCTAAAATCAGTGTCAGCACGCTAGGAATTTCCCCGTGGCTCTTCGGCCTAGACCCTCTCCAGGCTGAGCTGGCACAAAGCTCTGGGCCGGAGACATCCGCATCGGGCAAGGGACAAGCCCCTTCACACTCCCACTCCCACCCCCACCCGTAACCCTCTTACATTAGGGGGATGCAGGGCCAGCAAGAAGTCAGGGGGAATGGGGTTTGGGGGTACACAGGAGGGGAGAATGGCCTTTGGACGTGGCGCCTCAGGTCCCGTGAGAACAAGGCAGCGTCTTTCTCCCGCTGGACCCCAGGGCTCGGCGGGGGCTCAGCGCACCCATGTGGGCAGAGCAGAAGGACACGGGTGTCAGGGGGGGCTTACCCTTGGGGTGAGCAGCCAGGGTCTCCCTGGTAAGGCAGACCTTCCCGATGACATCATCCCGGCTGCACGGGGAAACCGAGTCAGAGCCTGGTGGCCACCGACATGACCCCCCCACCCCCTCACCCCCCCACCCCCGTCCCGACCCTTCTGAGGCCCTAGAACTCTGGACAGTAGCTGGGCATGGCAGAGTCCTGCGGGTGGGCACTGTGGTGCGGGGGTGGGGGGGAGGGTCACGGGTCATGCACATGCACGCGCAGGTGCGAGCACACGCAGGCACGCGCACTCACAGGCACATGCACGCGCGCGCACGCGCAAGCACTCGAGCACACGCACGCGCGCACCCTGCCGCAGACCAGCCCGCGCGACCCTCCCTGCAGGCAGCCAGGAGGATGTCAAGGGTCCCGCGGTGGGGCGCCCACCTGAGGGCGTCCTCGTCCAGGACGTAGAAGGCCACCTCGTGGAAGGAGGGCGGCAGGTTCACCTCGTACTCCTCCCCCCAGAAGGGGCACAAGGTCTTCCACACGGTGGCCGTCCTGCGGGAGAGGCCCTCAGCAGCGCTCGGCCACCCACCCACACCCCCTCCTCGGGGGGGGTGCTCCAGACCCACCAGCACCCGGCTCGGACCTCCTGCCCTGTGCTCGGGGACAGGTCAGAACAGGCAGGGGCTGCTCTCGGCCGTACAGCTGGATTGGCAGAACCGGGACCAGAAGCGTCAGCCCAGCTCTCAGCGGGATGAGCCCAGCTCCTAGCGAGGTGGCCGCGCAGACTCCTGGTGGGGTTCCGGGGGTTGGGATTCCAAGGGCCGCCCAGCATTCCCCGCAGTGCTGTCTCTCCGCTGGGGGTGGCAGCGCGGAGCCGGGTGGACAGATGTCCCCAGTACCCCCTCCCACCCTGGTAGGGCCGCACCCAGCTCTTGCCAAGCTCCCCCCAGGAACCCGTGACTCTGCCCGGAATGTGGATGGGGGTGACACTCCCCCGAGGACGGAGCCAAAGGCTGAGACATCATCTCATGCCGCAGCCTCGGTTTCCCCACTTGTTGCTGAGATCAGATTGGCCACCCCTTTCCCCTGCCCCTTTGAAAGAACTAGGGGGCGGGGCAGAACAGGGAGATTCTCAACCCCAAGACCAAGACCTGGGGGATGGACGGCAGAATGGGGCACCCACGGGAACAATGGCCCATCTGGACGCAGGGGGACATGTGGACGACTAATGGGGCTTTGCCAGGGAGAGGGGTCCCCGAGGGAGAGAGATAGGACTGGGGGTCGAGGAGGGAGCTCTTGGACTCTGCTGCCTCTGATCTGGGTCTGTCATCTACCGGCCCCGAGACCTTGGGTCAGTGGGGGCCAACGCGGGATCACAGTATGACGGGGGTAGTGGCCCTTTACCCAGTCCCCTGCTGGGCCACATCTGGTAATTGTGTGAGTGATGAGCAGGTGACGGCCCCGGGGGTACCCAGGGGGGTTCGACACCCCACACCCTCTCAGCACCCTGGGAGTATGGGCGTGCCCGGCCTTACCTGATGATGGGCTCAAGGTCCACCTTCACCACGCAGTAGGGGTCACTGCTGCCATTGCTGCAAGACACACACGGGGTGGGGCTGCCGATGGTAGGCGGGGCTAGGGGCCTCCCTCACAGCGTGCTGCCCACTGTGGGGGAGACTCAGGGATCCTAGGGAAAGGACTGGTCGCTCCCAGAAGCCCGGACCTGCCTGGGACCAGTCTGGGACCAAAGGATGCTAGGCCAGTGCGTGTCCTCCCACTTGCCTGGCACCCTCTCTCTGCCGCTGGGAGTGCCGGAACCACGGTCACCCCAGGCAAGTCCAGACATCCCTTGCGTTTGCTTGGGGGTCCCCTGCCTCCCCTCAGAGCCCACGCTGACGAGGCAGGGAGTCAATCTCCTGACTTCCCTCACCCTAAACCTCTGGTCCAGTCCGCTGGGGATTGGGTGTCATCAGGAGCCACCCCACTGATGAGTACCTGGGGACCACTATGTCCCCAGAACCTCCGGCCAGGCTTGGCAACCAGGGGTCCCGGGAGTGTCGGTGGGAGAGAAGATGGGAATGAACAAACGTGCAGGCCCTGTCACGGTCTGATCTGGCCTTGCTGGGGGTGAGGGGTGTTGGAGCGACTCCCACAGCTCGAGCTAGGCAAGAAGGAGGTGTGGAACATGAACCAGAGGTGACCTGGGTCAGGGTCAGGTGGGGGCCCCCCTGCTCCCCAGCCCCACACCCCTCTCCCCCTCCTCCAGAAGGAAGTGGATCTGCGTGTGGCAGGGTGGGGAATTTCAGCTGAGCTTCCCTTCTCGAAAGGAAAGGGCCTTTCCTGAGCAGGAAACCACTCCAGACCCACGGCTCCCGGGAACTGGCGCTGACGGGGCTTGGGAGATGCGGCAGCCTGCGCCTCTGCTTGAATTCCCTCCTCCGGGGAGTCCCCCAGCTGGTACCCCAGTGATCCGAAACAGGGACCTCCAGCCCACCCTGGGGCCAGACCCCATGCATCCCACTGGGTGCTGGGCTGGGCCAGGAGCTGCCAGTTTGGGCAGAATGAAGCAGAGTGAAGCCGGAGAAGGGGTCTGCCTCCACCTCCAGGGCCCCCTGCCCTGCTCAGCCTCCTCACCTGGGTTCCCCTGGGTGACCTGTGACCTCAGTAGGGCACCTGCTCGGCTCTTGTTCAATGCATGAACCCCTGAATGGACATTGGGGGGTGCAGGCTGCAGACAGTGAGCAAAGGTATATAGGAACAGCCCCGGGTTCACAGCGGGGGCAGGAGGGAACGCAGAGTGAGGAGGAGGGGCTGAGACCAGACTCAAGGCCCTGGGCCAGTCGATGGGCCCTGAGCAGTTCTTGTTTTGTTTTGTTTTGGATCCTGGGCCACGCCCGGTGGTGCTCAGGGCTTATTCCTGGTTCTGTGCCCAGGAATCAGTGCTCTGGAGGCGCTCTGGGGTTCTGGGGATCGAACCCAGGACAGGTGTGTGCAAGGCAAACTCTCTCTCCACTGTACTGTCTCTCAGGCCTGAGAGTTCTGGGCGCCGAGCCCTGAGCCGAGGAGTCCCGGGGCGGTCCTCTCCTTCCCACGCCGCTGGCCCGCCTGGCTCCTTGCGGGGCTCTATATTTAGGGCCTTGGCCATCAGGGCGAACCTTGAAATAGACCCGAGCCCTCCCCAGGGCCACTGGGTGTGGGAGCTACTGGGTCACCGGTCACCATGACAGTTCTGGCCCGGCTGGCCCAGGCGGCCAAGGATGGAGTTAGGGGAGACGGCAGGGCAGGGAGCCACCTGGTGATCCACTTCGGGGACCTCTGTCATTCGTCTTTTTTTGGGGCAGTGTCAGAAATCAAACCCAGGACCCCAGGCCTCCGAAGAAGGTTCTGTACTCCGGGCCACATCTCCAGGCTGTTTCTGTGTCCTCTGAGGAGTGCCGGCCCGTGGGAAGGGTGGCTTCATGAGACAGGCCTGCAGTTCCCCATCATTGGACCTCAGCACTCAGTGGGGTCTCCCGTGTCCCCCCTGCCCTGTCCGCAACCAATACTTCCCACGCTTTTGTCAGGCTGGCCCCCACCCTGCCCCCTGCCTCTCTCCCCAAAGGAAGGATGTAACCTCCATCCCCAGAGATTCTTTGCTTTCCCGAAGCTAGTGTTCTTATTTATTTTTTTTTTTTGGTGGTGCTCAGCGGTTCCTCCTGGCTCTACTTGGAAATGGCGCCTGGTGGGGCTCAGGGGATTGAACCCTGAGCTGCAAAGACTGTGCTGAGCCGCTGACCCAAGTAACTAGGTGGGTCAGTATGGTCACTTCACCTACACACCATGTGGCCTGGCCGAGTATCTCTGTCCTGAGCAGTGGCCTCATGCAGACATCCCAGTCAGGGTGGGTGAGTGCAGGGAGAAACGGCAAGCCCCACCCATTCCGTGAATCGCTGCTGGGGGGAATTTCCTGGCAGGCTTGGGGGACCATCTGGAGTGTTGTGGATTGAGCCTGGCTTGGCCGGGTGCAGGGCAAATGCTCTCCCGGCTGTATTACCTCTCCGGTCTTTTATTTCCCCTTTGGTTTTGGGCGATGCTCAGGGCTCACTCTTGGCTCTGCATTCAGGGATCACTTCTCTCAGGGCTAGGGAGAGACCCTGTGTGGTACCAGGGGTCCTCGAGGGCGAATGGGTCATAGTCACTACCCTCAAAGCCAGCCCCGGAAGAAGCAATTGGCATCAGGGGCGACTTTCTAATGCCAGGTACCCAGCGTGCTAGGGGCATGAGAGGTCAGAGGCTCCAGCACCCCCCTCCCAGGGCCAGAGCGATAGTGCAGTGGGTAGGTCATTTGCCTTGCATGAGGCCGACCTGGGTTCGATTCCCAGCATCCTCTATGGTTCCCAGAGCACCGTCAGGAGTGATTCCTGAGTGCAGAGCCAGGAGTAACCCCTGAGCATCACCAGATGAGACCCAAAAGAAAAGAAAAAGGAGTCTTGTCCAAGGACACCGGCAGTGGGGGGGTCCCCCCAAAGAGGCAGGATTCTGGAGGGGTTCTGAAGTCCGGAGAGGAGCTTTTTGGAGCCCTGGGCTGTGAGATGGAGCACACACAGGTGACGGCTGGCGGAAGTGTGGACAGGGAGAGGGACAAGAAAAGTGTGACTCCAGGGGGGGATTCAGCAGGGCTGGGGGCCGCTCCTTGTGGAAGAAGGACGTGTGCAGGGGGTCCCTGCGCTGGGCAGGCACCTGGGTTCTCTAGTGGGTGCAAGCCACAGCCTCGGCGTCCAGGGCCTGGGCATCCGGGCCAGAGCTCAGCAGGGACTGGGCTGGGAGGGAGGCCACAGACAAGGGGCCGCTCTCCCCGCAGTCGCCGCCCGCCGAGGAGGCCACGCTGACCTAGTTCCCGTGCCAGCCTGAGGGGGGTGGGGTGCCCACAGACCGCCAAGCCTGGGAGCGGGACCCCCGGGGAGCTCTGCAGCCTTCCCATCCATCCCCAGCGCCGTGTCCCCCCCTAGGCCCCCTTCCACACCCCGCCAGCCCAGAACCCCCCCTTCGGAGAGAGGACCCGCCCCGCTCACGCCCGTTGCTATGGCAACCGCTGAGCCCGGCCTCCTCGGGCGGGGTGATGATGGGGGCGGGGGGGGGGGGTCCTTGAACTGGAACCGCGGGCGGCGCTGTGCGTGCCGGGAAACTCTCCCGGGAGCACCCCCGCACCCCGCACCCTCCTCCCAGCGCTCCTCGGCGGCGTCCGGGAGCCCCGGAGGGAGCCCGCGGTGGGAGGCTCTGGCTCTGCAGACTCTGAACCCCGGGCCGCGCTCTCCACCCCCACCCCCTGCACGCTCTTCACCTTGGGGAGCCAGGGGTCCTAAAGTCACCCGCACCCTGGCCCCTGGGTTTAGAGCAACCCCCAGCCCCCTTCCCCCCGACTCGGACCCCGCCCCACCCTCGGAGCCCGGGTTCGCGCGCTCGACTCCGAGAGCCGTGACTGTGGGGCGGGGGCGCGCGGGAGGGGAGCGAGGCGCTACCTGACGACCCCCTCCGTCCCCAGCAGCTGCATCCCCTCTATCGCACGCGCCCACCCGCATCCTCTCTCCCCCCCTGGGCCGGACCCTGACCCGGCGCCCAGCAGGCAGCCCCGGACCCCCACCCCCCAGGGCAGCCTCGCGGGTCATTTAGGGTTCCGGGACGACAGCGGAAGACCCTCATGTCGGGGGGCGACTGGGCAACGCATCCCTGCAAGTCACGCTCCCCGCAGGTAGCCCCGCACCCCGTCTGCTCGACCCTCCGCTCTGTCGGTGAGGACCCCTGTAGACCCCGGCCCGCCCCAGGCTCCCCGCCGCCCGCTGTCCGGCAAAGCTCTCGGTTCCCCTTTCCCGGGCACTGCACCCAACTCGGCCGCCCGGGCCACACCCTCGAGGCCGCGCTCTCTGGGGGCGGGTCGTGCCCCCCCCTCCCCGGGAGGTCTGGCGGACAGGGCAGCGCCCCTCTCGGGAAAGTTGCGGCTCCCTCCCGCAGCCAGGCTCACATGTCCTTGGCCGGCAGGTTCTTCCCCTCCACGATGCGGATGGACAGCGAGCTGCGCTTGGCCATCGCGGGTCGGCGCCGCGTGCGTCTGGGCTCGGGTCCTGACGGCCAGCGGCGCCGCGCGGGGGAGGCAGAGGCGGGGGTGGGGGGGGGCCGCGTCCACTTCATTCACCCCCGCCCCGGCCCCACGTGCGGGGGGGGGAACACTGCGCCCCCGCCGGCCAATCGGCGCCCGGGACTCCGCGGTGGGCGGGGCAAGTCCGGGCCTCGGCGCTCATTGGCCGCCTGGGGGCGGAGGGGCGGGTCCTGCTCCGGGTCAGGGGTGCTGAAGCCAGCTAGCTCCCCGCGGCTGAGCGGGTTCCCGGGCGCCCCTCGAAGCCACCTCCGGCACTTGGGGCTGTGTGTGCCCGAGGGCGCACTCGGAGACTCGGGCGAGACTCTGAGGGACGCGGGGTTGGGGGCGGGGGCGGAGGAGGAGGACTATGCTGTCCCCCAGGCTTTCTGTGGGACGCCCCGGCGGGATCTCCCGTGGGTGGAGGAACGGGCAGTTCGCGCCCCGGGGAATGGCCCTGGACCTGCAGCGGGCGAAAGGAGCCGGAGGGCTGGGGAGCGGGCCTTGGACTCGGATCTGCTTGGAAGGAAGGATTTTTTTTTTTTCTTTTTGGGTCACACCAGGCGATGCACAGGGGTTGCACGTGGCTCAAGCACTCAGGAATTACCCCTGGTGGTGCTCGGGAGACCATATGGGATGCTGGGAATCGAACCCGGATTGACCGTGTGCAAGGCAAACACCCTACCCACTGTGCTATCGCCCCAGCCCCTAAAGGAGCTTTTTTGTGTTACTTTGTTTTTGGGCCACACCTGGCAATGCTCAGGGGACCTTATGGGATGCTGAGGATCTAACTGGGGTTGGCCACGTGCAAGACAAGCGCCCTCCGGCTGTACTATCTCCTCAGTTCCAGGAAGAAGTTTTGCTCTTTTTCACCTCATTTTCTTCACTTTCTCCCCTGTCCCTCACTCCCCAAGTGTGAAAAGGATGAAGGAAGGCTCTGGTTCATGGAGGAAATGACCTGTCAGAGGTTAGACAGCTAGCCCCAGGCAAGGTGAATCTTTACCTCCTTGCATTGCTCCCTGCTCAATGGCCACCATTCTTCCCCCCACAGTGTCTGCTACACGCCACTTGCATGGTGCCAGTCGAAGTGCTGGGGCTATCCCCCAGCTGGCTACTGCCTGGATCCCAGCTTCCACCAGCCCTTGTTGGCTGCACTAGCTCTAAGTTTCTCTGAGCTGTTGCTGCCTCCCCCCCCCACCTCCCCTGGCACAGAGGGGGGCAGCCACCTGCAGGAGGCACCCAGGAGGTACTGGGGCGGGGGGTGCATTAGCCCAGACTCTCTTACCGATGCAACACGCATGCCATGGAGCTCAGGGCTCGCCAACCACCTGCCTCAGCACACAGTGGGGCCTCTGTGGCCCCCCAACCCTGCTCTGTGGCAGCAAAATGCTCCCCACACCGTTGTCAGGCCCAGATCTTCCGTTCCCCAATAGGGAGGCAACCTTATGAGCAATAGCAGCGCGTAGGGCCTTTGCTTTGTACACAGCCGACCCAGGTTTGATGCCCGGCATCCCATATGGTTCCCTGAGCACCGCCAGGAGTGATCCCTGAGTGCAGAGCCAGGAGTAACCCCTGAGCACAGCCAGGTGTATCTCAAAAACAAACAAAAAAAAAAAGAAAAGAAAAGAAGAGTCTGACTTCATCAATAGGGAGAGAGTTGCTCAGAGACCAAACATTCGGTGACAGGAAGTTTTGATTTTGGAAGTTCTGGGGAATTGGCTGCCGAGGGCCCACAGCCCAACACTCACTCTGCAGCAGGATGTCTTCCTCTGTGACTGTTGGGACCCCAAGGGTTCCATGGCTCAGTGACAGTCACTGCTTGGGTCCGAGGTCTCTGGTTCCTCCTGCGGGCCCCGCCTCCTGGGAACCCCAGAGCTCCTCCCAAGTGAGCCGCTGCCTTGTTGGGCTGTTTGCACACAGATGTGTTCTCCACACTAAATTTAACCGCGGAGGAGGCTGGCGGCTGTTGCGTTTAGGGGCCGTGTTAGTAAACATTTACCATCTTCAGATGATTTTGCCCTTTTCATATTTGGAAACAGATTGCACCCCCATCTCTTCCCAGAGCCCCCAGACTAAAGACCTCTCCTGAGCTGGTGTCCAGAGGAGGGGCTTTCCCAGACCACCCCTGACCCTGTCTCCTTGGTGCTTTCTGGGATCTGTGCTTTTGTGTTTCCCAGAAAACAAGGTTTGGGGAAGGAGGTGGGCCTGGGTGGATGGGAAGGGGAGGACACAGCTGTAAGGGACACTCTGGACCCTGGGAAGGGACAGGGAGGAGGGCCTGGGAGCAGCTCCCCATGAATGAAGACTCGGGGGGCAGCAGTAAGCCCCCAAAACTAGGCCTAGAGCTCTGGACGGAACCCAGGGCCAACAGGGTCTCAGAGTGTGGACTGGCCTATTGCAGGGAGCCCAGCTCTGGCACTGGTGCGGAGCCATTCCCCACTTAACCCTGCCCCACCACCGGGTTTGGCACCCAGCTGCTCCGTTTGGGCAGAGAACATTCAAGACGGTGTTAGAAGACCACAGGGAAAGGGTGGGACTTGAGTCTCTTCTCCCATGGGAACTGCTGTGTGACTCTCGCCAAGTTACTCAAGCCCTCTGGGTTTTGTCATCTGTCACGCGGGGCGCCGCAGTGCTGGGAGTGGCTGGACAGTGAGCTGGTGCCGCTGGGATGTCCCAGCACCGAGAACTTGGGGACAGTGTCCTTGCTAGCCCTCCTTAGCCAGGGCTGGTCCCACATGTCCTTTTAAGGATGGGGAGCTGGGGAATGAGCCTCAAGTTGGTCCTGGATCTGCACCGTGGCCAGGACTCCAGAGAAAGATCCTGTCGCAGGGAGAGCCGGAGCCTGGGCAGCAGAGAGAAAAGCTGGACAGCGGGCAGGGCGCTGGCCTCTCATGCAGCCGACCTGGGTGTGATCCCTGGTTGTCTCATAGGTTCCCCCGAGCACCACCAAGAGTGATTCCTGAACCCAGAGTGATCCCTAAGCATTGCCGGGCCTCTTTTGCAAACCACAACACCCAAAAGGAGAGAGAGAACAAAAGGGAATGCCCTGCCACAGAGGCAGGGTGGGATGGGGGAAAAGGGGGGTTGGAGGGATACTGGGATCAGTGGTGGTGGAAAATGGACATTGGTGGAGGGATGGGTACTCGAACATTGTATAATTGAAACCCAAGCACAAAAATTTGTAAGTCTACAACTGTACCTCATGGTGTTTCACCAAAAAAAAAAAAAGAGGAAAAAAAGTCAGGAAAACAGGAAGCAGGACCAGCTCGGAGCTCCCGGACTGAGGTGGGGATGGGGGGAGGCTTGTGTCCTCAGTTTCCCACCCCCATCCTTGTGGGGTCATGATCACTGCACCCAGAGGCGGTAGAGAGAAGTCCTGGTAGACGGGGTGAACAGGACAGCCCCGATGGGTGACAGCTAGTGTCCCTGCGTGCCATGGGGATGGGCAGTGTCCAGGTCTCGGGTATGGACAGGGGTTCCCAGTGTTCCCGCCCACGTAGAGGAAAATCACTCTTGTGGGCTTCCTGGAGAGGGCGGGGTCAGTTCCCAGGTCTGGGGGAGATGACAAGACCTTGGCGTAATTCCCTGGACCTGACCAGGCCCCTTGGGGCTCCCTGCACGGAATACTTGGGATATGGCCAGTGCCCTGGGCAGGAAATAAACACGCAGCCTCCCTCGGCACCTCATGCCCCAGGCCAGCGGGGAACGGGGGTCCTGGTCTCTGTCTGACCCCTACTCCAACCAACACCTTCACGTGCCTCAGCCAGTCTCTGGGAGACCCCACCTCCCTCCACTGTTACCCCACTCCTGGGGCACATGGGACCCCCACTGAGCTCACGAGGGTCTCTGGGCCCCATCAGGGTCCCCCGTCAACCCCAACTTGAGACCACGGGTCGGTCTCAGGCATGAAGTTGGAAAAAGGTTTGGGGGACCCTGTTCTCCCAGGCTCCATGCTCCCAGAACAGTGGGGAGGACACGGCTGCCTGTAGTCCCAGCTCATGCTCCAGCCTCCGCTGCCACCAAGGAAGGTCCCCTCGCATGGGGACAGTGGCCAAAGTCCCCATTTCCCCATAGCTTCTAGAAATCCCAGGTGGGCTGCATGAGCTTCCCATGACCACTCTAAGGTCCTTCCCCGAGCCTGGCTCTGCACACCCTGTCTGGCACCGTACACACAGCTCTGCCCTGAACCTGGGCGGGGCCAGACCCGTTGTGCCCAGGGGTGATGCCCGCGTACACATGGACCCCGAGTGTCATCAGGTATGGTGCTGGTCCCCACCTCTGATGGGAAGGCTCCCAAGTAATGCAAAGACAAAAGAAAAAGAGTGAGAAAGTAGAGGTCCACCATGGGGATTACACTGTCCGCACATCCGCCCAGTGGACACCCCCATCCTTACACTGTCCCCACCATCCGCCCAGTGGACACTCCCTTACACTATTTCCACCATCTGCCCAGTGGTCACCCCCCTTAGACCATCCCCACTATTCGCTCAGTGAACACCCCCCATTAGGCCGTTTCCACCACCTGCCCAGCAGACACCCCCATCCTTTCTCCCTCTCTCTCTCTGATGGCCAGCAGTGAACTCTGATTCTTCCGTTTGTCTGGCAGACGGGGCCCATCCTACCTGCCTCGGTGGCCCAGGGACTGCTCGGAACTGGTGTCCAGGGCAAGTCTGTCACTGAGTTACCTCAGAACTCAACTCATGATACAGAAGATAAGGCATTTTCCATCACACAGCCACTCTGGGTCTAACCCCTGGCACCCCATATGGTCCCCACCAAGCACCACCAGGAGTAACCCCTGAGTGAAGAGCCAAGAGTAAGTCCTGAGCACCACTGGGTCTGACCAAAAATATCAAAAAACGAACACAAAAAGAACTCAACTCTTCTGCTCCCTCTCCCCACTTTTCTTTTTCTTTTATTTAGGGGTGGGAGCAGGGTTTGGGTAACATGCTGTGGTACTTAGGGTTTACTCCTGGCTCTGTGCTCAAGGAATTACTCCTGGATGTGCTCAGAGGACCCTGT